CCAAACACTTTTATACAATCAGCTAACACAATAAGTTAGTCAAATAAGTTAATAAAATCAGCTAGTCAAAATCAGCTAACTTAATCAGCTTCAGCTTTCAGCTTTCTCCCAAACAAGGCCATAAGCTCTGGTTGGAAAATGCAGTTGAATAGAACTCTGTTATCTGGTAACATTTTTTATTTTTTTTAATTTTTTTTACTATTATTCTTTAGTAGTTTTTATATTATGTACTAAAGAACTCTGTTATCAAGTTGCTGTATACCTTTGTGAAATATGTTTGGTTTTCTACTTTCAACATATCATATTAAGAGAAGAAAGGGTGGACTCCTTACCCAGTTACCCTAGAAATTGAAGAGGTAACAAATATTTTTGAAATTGGGATACATTGTTATGAGTTCTGATAATTGATTTTGGGATTTGTTAAACATCGCCCACAAATTACTACATAAAGCCCACAAAATTCACTTGGTTTGCCAAAATTGCCCTTGACCTTAAAAAAAACACTCACACTCTCATCACTCACACTCTCATTGCTCATCTTCTTTCAACCTCTCTAAAAAAAAAAAAATTCAAATAACGGCAATGTCGAGGCGGCAAGGCAAGGAATTGGCGGCGGCGGCGGAGGGAAGGATGTCCCAAGGAGGAAAGGTACATTTTGTTTAAAAAAAAAAAGGGAAAAACTGCCGTGACCGCGGTGGGGCGCCCTGGCTGGACGCCCAGCCAGCGGTGGTGGCGCCAGCTGCAGACGCCGCCACCAGTTGGCTGGCGCCTGGGCTGGACGCCACGGCCACGGTTGTGGCGTTTATTCAAGGCGCCGCAGCCGTGGCTGTGGCGTCCAGCCAGGGCGCCCCCCCCATTTTTTTTTTTTTTTTTTAAAAAATTGTTTTTAATTTTTTTTTTTTTGTGTAATATAATTTTGAATTGTTTTTATATTTTGTTGTTTATTTTTATAAATTTTTTCAATTTCGTTGTATTTTTTCTACGTTTATATTTTGTTTACAATTATTTGTATGTTTTTAGTTTATTTGATTTGCGATGATGATTATTTATCGTATAAATTTTTGTATGTTTATATATTTTAAAATTTTGTGTAGAATTCACTGGGTCGTCATGGTGCGGGGAAGAATATAGAGCTTCTTAGTAGAAGTTATTCAGTGGAGTGGTCGGGGCATAGACATGTCAGATCCCGTGGTATTTCGGCCTCAGTTCGTAGAGAACGGATCCACCGTCGGGATGAGGATGACGATGACGATGATGATGCTGAGGAGGGTGACCAGGAGGAGGAGCAGGAGGAGGGCGCAGATGAGGATGAGGATGTGGACGATGGCAGTGGACCGTATGATGATTACGGTCCATTCAGTCAGAGGGTTGATGACATGTACGAGACGCATATGGTGGAGGTGCGTAAGGGTAGGGGTGGTAGGTTTGTTAGTAGATCTGGCACATCATCTGCGTCCACTGTATCTGGGGCAAGCAGGAAACGGTCGAGGGCCGGTAATGATTCTTGGGTTGTTAGGAGTGAGGTGCCCGGTGGGCCTGTTGACGGGAGTGTGATTCCTAGCTTTCTAGGACACATAGCTGCCCGTATTTGGGAGGACCAGGAGAGGCCTTCAGTTACGGGGTTGTTGAAATGTCATACCCGGGAAAAGACTTGTAGCTTTTTGCGTACATGGGCTGAGGCCTGGCCGGCGGAGAGCGAGATGTTCGAGCGACTGGAGGGCACTGGGGTGAATCACGTTCCTGCCACCATGCACGATAAGATTGACAGTACGCTGATCACGGCTTTCATTGAGCGATGGCAGCCGGATACAAACTCTTTCCACCTTCCGTTCGGTGAGATGACGATCATGTTACATGACGTCGAGGCCATTCTGGGGATTCGTGTTGAGGGTAAACGACTTTGTGATGTGGCTGATGCGGATCAGGCAGATTCGCTGGCGGAGTTGTTGGCGGTGGACAGGGCTGCACTGTACACCGAGGCGCTAGGTGTTTGGGAACACGGAGGTGTGAAGATCGCATCCGTGTTGCAGCGGTGTTTGTACCCTAGTGCACGTAGGACGCCCGACGCACAACTGAGTGCTTATGTTTTTCTACTCCTCGGATGTACCTTGTTTCCGGATAAGAGCGGCGGAAACAAGCTCAGGCCACGCGACATCGTAGAGGCGTGTGACCCCGAACGGCGGAAACAAGCTCAGGCCACTCAGTCGTACATCGAACGGAACTGCTTCAACTCCTCCTGTTCACGGTCGGCCGTTTGATTGTCTGCATGCTCACCAATAACAAGCGTCCTCCAGAATGAATGGACCTGATCAACATGTAACGACACCCTTTCTTCTGTAATAACGCGGTGAATGGTGCATGCGCAAGGTAATCCATGAGTTACTGAAATAGTACACCCACACCGAGTATACACTTCGTCAGCCAAGTCCCTCACCCTGTTCAGCTCAGTGAGAATCAACCCCAAGCAGTAGTGCGACACACGACCATGGAGAATCTTAAATATAAAATGGCTATACATCGTACCATGTCGTCGTCTGGAGTCCTCTAGAGAGTTCCTGATGTCGTTCTTCTGAGTTTCAATTGACTTGTTCAGTCTAGCGAACAGTGTATCCAAAGCAGCGGTCGATGAATCAATCCAGTCCTTGGTAGCTCTATGAGCGCTCTCAACTCTACATGTTGTAGTGTTCCCAAAATGAAGTACTTGGTTTGTCCAATATTTGACAAACTTTTCCCTGTGAGGGACCCATTGATGCATCACATAGTCCACCAGTGCCGGACACCACTGCTACGAATCCCTGAAGTTAGCCAATGCTCGCTCATACGCTTCCTCTGTGGTAGCCTGTAGGATCTTCCGCCACTTACCATTCACCAATCTCTCTGCCATTTCCAAATTCTTCTTGAAAAGGTTGTAGGCTTTCACTTTCACGCAGTTGTTGATGTGCCATGTGCACAATAAGTGGTTCGATTCGGGAAACAGCTCTGCTATGGGGGCAAAGAGACCTCCCTCACAGTCGCTGACGATGGCTGCTGGATGAACATTAGGCCCGATGTAGTTTCTCAGCTTCTCCAACACCCAATAATAACTTGGAGCCGTCTCATCCCTGATGATTGCATGACCAATCAGAAAGTTCTGGTTCGTTGGAGCCATCCCAACCATCTCAACCAGTGGGAACTTGTACTTGTTTGTCTTGTACGTTGAGTCGATCAAAATCACAAATGGCCAAGACTTGATCATATCAGCACAATCAGGATGCACAAGGAAAAGATGAGTCACCTCCGCTGTATCTTCATCAGAATCAAACCAGAACAGGTAACCACGTGATTGTGCCTGGTGTGGCAGCTGCTGTATAGGGTTCCTTCCCTCTGACCGTTCAAACCTAAGTTGCTGTCTGACGTTGTAGATGTGTCTTCGGTTTGGATGGTCTTCTGGAAATTTCTCTAACACAGATGCTAATATTTTAGCAGGCTTCACTTGAGCATCACTCATTTCTTTCACAACTAGTTTCGCAGCAGGACTTAAGCCGCTCAGTTGTCGATGACCCTCTTCATATACTATCATCTCATGGTTGTGATACCCCCATTTAGAGTAACCAATCACTTCCCAACCGTCACGACTCCGTAGTTGTCGAACCTTTACTCTGAACTCACACCCACAACCTTTCCGCTTTGTATCAAACCGAGTGGCTGTACAAAAATCTCTTTCTTCTCTTTTGCGATAACGGTCACATCTCAAAATGCGATCCATTCTACCATCCCGTTGAGATTTATGAGTTACTACTACCAAGCAAAATCCAGCTGCAATTGCAACCTCTTTTGCCCAATCAATCGCCTGTTGAGCTTCTTCGAATGGACCATCATGTCCAAATATCCCACTGTAATCATTTCCGTCTCCACCATATTCCTGCATCAATTATATATTACAATAAATACATTTAACGGATAATACATTTAATTTCTATATTTACACAGAATTAACACAAAAAAAAAACATAATTATATATAATCAAACTTAATTTTTATAAAAACCCAATTCGAATTTTCAAACTAAATTTAAAAATATACCATTTCGAATTTTCAAATTTAATTTTAAAAAAACCTATTTCGAATTTTCAAATTTAATTTAAAAAAAAAAACCCATTTCGAATTTTTTTAAAAAATCATTTTCGATTTTTTTTTTACAAAAAAATTAAATAAAAAACAACAACAAAATCAAAAAAGAAAAAAAAAATTAATTATTAAAGGTGGCGTCTGCCAGGGCTGCCACAGCCACTGGACTGGCGCCTGGCAGGGCCGCCTCACCCAGTGGAGTGGCGTCTGCCCAGGATGGTGGTCTGGGCGTCTGGGCTGGACGCCACTCTGGTGGTTCTGGCGTCTGGCTTGGACGTCCAGGCTACGGTTTGGGCGTCCACCCTAGGCGCCGGAGCCACTCCGACGGTAAACCGTGAATTTTAACTGTGACTTACCTCGTTTTCCGTCGACGACGACGTACCTCCGGCGTCCCCCGCATCTCCGGCCTGCCCTCCGGTCTCCCCCGGCGAGCCAGTACGGCTCCACATTTTTTACACCGAGATTATTTCAATTTTAGAAAAAGGGCATAATGGTCAAACCATATCATATTTGTGGGCTTTATATGGTAAATTGCGGGCGATGTTTAGCATTTCACTTGATTTTATAAAGATACACAAATTTAGTGGATCAATGTGTCCACTTTACAGCTTAGAGAAATAAATTTTCTTCTCTAAGTTCCGTCCTTTTATTCTTTTCATTTGTTTGAGCACATTGTACCTGTTTTGTTAGAAGTCTGCTGGCCCTGCAGTTCTTTGCTTCTCAGGAAAAAAAAAGTGTAGAATTCAACTAAATGATAAGTTCAGTTTTTCCAAAATATATATACAAGTATATATAATCAGAAATTCAGAAGTGCTCAATTTACATATTTTCTGCCAAAAGTGTAACGCTTCCTGCAGGCTTAACATTCAATTTGTTTCAAATATTTGTAATAGCAACTACAGTATTAGTCAATTAGAGGTAAATGGTAAAATATTGTGAAAGATTACATAAACGGAAGAAAAGTAAGAGTTAATGGCAACTACAGTATTTGTAGTTGGTATTTTGGATAAGAATCAAGTGGGCCAAAATCCAATGAGAATATTTATTCTTGAAGACTTAAGCAGGTCAAGATCATCAAATACACCAGACTTTGCAGAAAGAGAGAAAAACAAGATTGAAAAAATGGCAGAGGGAATTGTGTGGGAATTGGCATCAAAAGCCTTGGAATCGTTGGGCAAAGCAGCCATTCAAAAGGCTGGATTCTGGTGGAGTGCATGAGATGATCTGAATAATCTTGAGAAAACCATCAGGATGATCCAGGCTCGAGTTCGTGATGCTGAGAAGTACCAGGAAGCAGAGGGCAGTGACACTATCAAAGAGTGGCTTAAGATGCTTAGGCAGGTGCTTTACCGAGCTGATGACCTGTTTGATGAGATCCTCACTGTTGATCAGCAGAGACCACGGATGCAGGTACATGTCTTTTTTTCTAGATCGAACATACTTTGGCTTAACTGGAAAATGGCTCGAGAAATCAAGTCTATTAGACAAGAACTTGATGCCATCAACTCGGGTTTGACTAGCTTAAACTTGAGGGTGTATGATCACAGAGAAGACCCAAAACATCCTGTGGCCCAATTAATGAAGAGAAGGGAAACAGCCTCTTTTGTTAAAGCAGTTGATATCATTGGTAGAGAAAATGATAAAAACATGATAATTGAGATGCTGTTAAATCCCAAATATGATGATGAAAAGGTTACTGTCATTCCAATTGTTGGGTTTGGGGGTCTAGGAAAAACCACTCTTGCTCAATTGGTGTTCAATGATGTGAGAGTTCAGAAACATTTTGATCTTGTTACATGGGTTTGTGTACCTGAGGTAGACAATCAAAAGGCGGTAATGGGGAAACTTTATAGGTGCTTCACTGATGAGGATTCTGGTGACCGTTCACTGAATCAAATTAAATCGCAGATTCATGATTCTATAAAAAGCAAGAAGTATCTTCTTGTCTTAGATGACATATGGGATGATAGTCGAGATAGGTGGTTGGATCTCATGAGCTTGTTGGAATGTGGTCGCATTGGGAGTAAGGTAATTGTAACTACGCGCTCTGATAATGTTGCAAAGGTTGCAGGCACAGTTCCTAAATCTTATAAATTAGGATTTCTAACAGATGATGAGTCTTGGGAGCTTTTCAGAAGCTTAGCATTCAAACAAAATCAAGAGGAGAGTAATCCTAATTTAACTCAGATCGGTAAAGAGATTGTTAGTAGTTGTGGAAACGTTCCCCTCGCTATCAGAGTTGTTGGAAGCCTCCTCTACTCTAAAGATAGTGAGAAAGAGTGGCAACTCTTCAAAGATGATCAACTGTCAAAGGCAAAGCTGATGGAGGATGGCAACTTAATGCCTGTGTTAAAGTTAAGTTATGATTACTTACCTCCAGCATTAAAACAGTGCTTTGCCTACTGCTCATTGTTCCCAAAGGATTACGAGTTTAGCAAGGCTGATTTGGTCCATTTATGGATGGCACAGGGATATTTTGAGCCATCAAACAGAGACATCGGAGATCAGTATTTTATGGAATTGTTACGGATGAACTTTTTTCAAGATCCCAAAGAAGATGGTAAAGGGAATGTAAAAACGTGCAAAATTCATGACTTAGTGCATGATTTAGCACAACACATAGCAGGTGCTGAGAACATGCTGTTGGGTGAGTCTTCAATGCAGGTCACTGATGAGCTTATACATGTATCTCTTAACGGATGGGAAGCTCCATCATCATTGTTAGCTACCAAGAACATACGATCATTGCTAGGATTATCTATTGAAAGGCCTGCTAGTCTTGAAGGGTTGGTTTCAAGATTCCTGTCCTTACGCGTCTTGAGCTTGAACAATATTGATATGGTCCCAAGTTCTATAGGGAGATTGCGCCATTTAAGATACCTTAATCTTGCACGGAATTGTATTGAATGTCTTCCTAATGCCATAACGAGGTTAGAGAATCTCCAAACATTAAACCTTGATAGTTGTCCTTTCCTTATGGAGCTACCAAGAGATTTTGCCAAACTGTCTAATCTCAGGCATTTGGTGATCAATTGGGATACTTTGACAGATTTGCCGTCGGGTTTTGGGAAAATGACAACTCTTCATGAGTTACATGGATTTATAGTAGGAAAAGGGGAAAATACTGGCATTGACTCACTGCCAGCCTTAAATCTTAGGGGAGAACTGAGGATTCAATTTTTCAAGTTGCGCAAAAATGCAGTGATGGAAGCTCAAAGGGCAACTTTGAAGGAAAATCAACAGCTGACTTCTCTTATATTGAGCTTTCGGGGAGAAGAAACTGCTGTTGATTCTGATGAATTAAAGAGGATGATATCATTCTTGCAACTTCCTCAAAATCTTAAATATCTGAAGGTTCTTGGATACAAAGGAGATGAGATGCCCATTTGTTGGTTTGATAGGTTGCGTAAACTTGTTTCCATTAGCTTTGTGTGCTGCAATAATTGCCGAATTCTCCCTTACTTGAGACAATTGCCTCATCTTAAATCTCTTTATCTTCAATCACTAAATGCCTTGGAGTATGTAGAAGATGAGGGCACTAGTTGGGTTGGTGGAAACTCTGGTTCTACAGCTCACAATGACTACTTCCCTTTCTTAGAGGTCTTGGAGTTGGAGGATTTGCCGCGATTAAAGGGGTGGACTAGATCATCAAATGGTGAGGGTGAGCAAAGGAAGGAGTTGTTTCCTCGTCTTTTGCAATTGAAAATAAATGGTTGCAATAAATTGATGTCAATGCCTTTTTCCCCAAAGTTGGAGTCATTGGAGGTACATAAAATCAATGGGAGGTTGTTTAGATCCAATCTGATGTCACAGAATGATCAGGAAGCACCATCTTCATCTTCAGTACCATCATCTTCATCATCATTAAAGCAGTTGAAAATATGTGAAACTAATGATGGGCTTGTTTTTTTGTCAATTAGTAGTAGGCTGTGCAACTTAGAGACATTAGAAATAAGGCATTGCCACAAACTCTGGAGTTTGATATTTGATTCTCCAAATTCCATTCGACATCTTCATATTTATAACTGCAGAAGCTTGAGAAACATATCAAAGGGGATACATCTGCCCTTCCTTGAGACACTGACTATCCGAAACTGCAAAGAGTTGGAAGAGGAGGAAGAAGAAGAAGATGAGACGACCACCAGACTGGATTGGCAAGGCTTGAGGAGCCTCCGCTCTTTGGAATTATCCTGCATCCCAAAATTGGAGATACTCCCACGAGGCATTGCTTGCCTAACCACGCTTCAGCATCTGACAGTAACATTTCTCCTGAATCTGACAGCACTCCCTGATGAGATCAGCAACCTCTCCTTGCTACGTGAGCTTCAGATCATAAAGTGTCCAAATTTGGCTTCACTTCCACCATCGTTACAAGGCCTTACATCTTTACAGAAGCTTTACATTAGAGGCTGTCCGGATTTGGGAAAAAGATACAAGAAGCCGAATGGCAAAGATTGCCACATTCTTCAGCATATTCCCCATACTGATATGTGAGTTTCTGAAAAAACCTTTAGCCCTTGTATGTCTACATCATATCAGTTAATCATGCAGTATAGTGGTGAATAGAAAATTTGAAAGCATTACTAATTGTTTTTTTTCTTCTTTTCATCAGATCTACAGGATGCGAATTAAGTTTCCACGATGACTTAGGCTTTATTGAATCTCCAGAATGGGAATGATAGCTTGCTTCCTTTTGCCTTCTTATACTTCGTGTTTATTAACTCTAAAAAGTCTCTACTCTAAGGACTTGAATCAAGCCCTCTCCTAGCTATAGGTTTTCTACATTGTGAGACAGTATGTTTATTTTGTACTGTCAAGTTCATTGTAACAAAAAGATAGTTTATTTTTTGCCTAGTCCTAAGTCTTAGCAGATTAATTTGATTGGGCTGAGCATATGATTTGTGGAGCTTTTCAACCCTTCCTAGAAGGTGGTGAAAGTTTACACAGTGATGCTAATCATAGGCTAGTGTTGGGATTGTCGTGGTGTGTTTGGGCTTACATCTGGCCTTCTTACTGGGGCCACATGGAGCTTCGATTCAGATGGTGTGATCGTGGATGTGCTCCAGCTTGTCAGGAAACACAGATGGAAAGGATCTTTGTTTTCTGGTGATATCTGTCGCCTTTGTCCTCTTATTGTTGATCTCTTATGTATGTAGTTGCTATTATGTTAACCTTTGTGAAACTTTGTTAGAATATTGCTACCCTTAAGCTTTAATAATAATAGAAGAAATTGGTGGACTCAAGGGTAGTTACTCTTATTCTTAATAATAATAGAAATGTACACCAAAGAGGATTTCGACTTAATAAGCCTCTCATGCTATACAGGCTTAATTCTGTTTCTCAATTTATTTCCTGTCAATTGTAAATATTCTAGTGGTGATTGGAGTTTAATGTATTTAGTTGAATGTAAAGATTTTCTTATCAAGTACAGTTGGGTCTTATCAAGCTATTTGCTGGTATCTATTCAAATTATTTCCGATGCTGTGATAGCAACTGCAGTTTAAGAGACAAGGTAATGGTGAACATGAATGAAGAAAATTATAACGGATCACAATGATAAATAAGAAATAAGAAATAAGATCCATTATGAAATACTTTAAGATACCATGTTCTATAATGAGATCAGTTTGTCTTAACCGGGAAATGAAGCTATATCCGTTGTATGTTGTCTGCACCATATTGCTCAGCTCCTCACTCCTTGCTTCAGCATTCCTAGAGCTCAGTGGAACAAAAATACGTTAGTGATATTAATGTGATCTGATGTTCTTGTACAGCAGTTTAGAACTAGAGTTTAAATTTGTCACAACCATCATATTTGGATAGTTGTAATCAAACATATAGGCCTTACTTTGTATTAATCAATCATTAAGGATATTTTCTGGCTAAGTCTGAGCATATAATTTATATAAAGCTATAATTTATATAAAGCTATGTAACACTTGAAGTAGTAATTATGTTGCATTAATTAATAATCAAGCATATGTTTTGTCTAACCAAGAAACTAGGAACTAAGTGCTAGCAGCTGCTTAGGCTGACTACTAGTCCTAAAGCATGTACCCTGCTTCTCAGCTCCTGTAACTGGTGCTTCTGTACATTTTAGTTACTCTTGCTCCGTCTTGATTGTCTTAATTTCTGAATGCCTGCATTGCATATAAGGCGATGCTTCATACCGTGGGCTATTGAACAGAAAGGATATAATCAGACAGAGCAGACTAATATAACTGTAATAAAACCTGCAATTCCTTCAAATTTAATAGGCCTGGTGCAGGAGTGCATACACCAAAATGAAGAATGGTGACTGTTTTAAGAGATGCCTTATTATGCACATCAAGATGCAATTGGATATGCATAAAGCACAAAAAAAGCAAAAAGAAGTCGCAAAGTGGTGTTTAACCATTTTGTCTGGTGATGCACTTTCAATATGTATTGAAAATTACGAGTGTGTATAACCACGGGTGGGAAATTTAAACCTATGACTTATCATACATAGACCCTCAATCTTAACCACTAGGCCAAGATCTTATCAGTGCTGGCTGCTCTATCATCTCATGTGCTCGGACGTATTCTTAATACTGTTTAGTTATAGTTTGTTTCAATCTTGGATAATTTGCATTACTTTTTAGCTGTACACTCACAATCCACATGGACCTCTAGATTGTATTAGCACACATTTGGGTAATTAATTATAATTAATTAATTTGGCACTCACAATTTATATATTCAAGCTACTAGGGCAGACCATGTGGGGCAGAATAAGATGCAAGTTTAATGGTCATTTTCTTTAGATGGATATAAACTTACAAAAAGCAGCATCTATGTAAACAAATTTGTTAAGCTGTCCTAATCATTGGACCAACTATCATTAATATCGCACCTCTGCCCACAAACATAAATTAAATATATTTGAATATTACTACAAGAATTTAAGCAATGTAATTATTGTCAACCAGTTGGTTGTAAATTTGTAATCGTTATATCCCATGTAATTTTTGTCATAGCCAACATTAACAGATCTTCTAGAGTCTATTACCACTATTTCTTTATTGTCAATATGAAGCTCAATGTGTATCTAGATAGAAATATAAGTTATGTTACATGTTAAAATGATGTTAGATTAGATCGCCGTTTTATAAGACACATCTTAGATCACATATTTTACATCCAAATCTAAGACATATGAATGTAAGGGTCTGTTTTCTTCAATTAATTTACAGTTCAGTTCAGCTCAACTATAATCAGTTCAGTAAATCAAAACAGACCCTACGTGATATTACGTTAGGTGACAACCATATGGTTAAGTACGGCAACACAATATATAAAAACTAAAAAGACTTTACACAATCAGATGGAGCTAGTTCTTTGATGGTTTCCATTTTTTTTTAATGGTTTCATATGGACTCAATTGAGAAAATCATAGGGAGTATGAATTAATATATAAAGGTGTATACTGTGTATATATTTTGTATAAAGAAAGATAAAATTAAAAAGACTCAAATAAAATAAAGAAAGATAATAATACAAGAAGACCATAACATGTAGTGTTATTGTCTGTATCCCACAAATGATGGATCCCATATGATGATCTTGTTCAAGTCAGTAAGAGAAAATTCTAATTGCCAGACAACTTTGTTTAGTTGAAGTCGGCCACCATGTTTCACAGTTTCACACTACTGCCAGTGGACAGTTTGACACTTCCTACAACTACAGTCCAACTTCAAACTCTCTAACTTTTTATTAAAAAAAAAATCTAATAAACATTTCTATTATTTTATATACGAAGTACTTTTTTAAACGGATTATTTATGTTTATTTACTCAATTAATAAACTCTAATTTAATCAATCAAAAAAATCTACATGTTACATGAAGATTATGGAAATAAATCTGTCTCGACAATATATAGTCTATAAATTCATACTTCATTGAATGTAAGTATGTAACACAAATGTTAATCAAAATATAAATTGAGAGGATTGAAATACAATGAATCATGAATCGATCCAACACATAATATAACTATACAAGAAGAATTAAGAATTTTACCCTACCAAATGTTGTCACTAGCCATATGGGATATTGAATGGTATGTCACTTGGCACTAGTCTACTATCTATGATCCAATACAAAATTCGGCACATAAATAATGTCTAGATTAAGTTGCAAAGTAAATCTATTTAGATGTAGTTCAATAGTTGAAAATAGATAACAATCATAACATGACAACATGACAACATGACATGGCATATGGTAATGCTATGTTTACATCAATTTTCCAAAACTACTCAATCAGTGTTACATCATGACTCTAAGTCTCACTGTCGTGTCTAGCTTACTAGCTAACCCAAAAATACACCCTAAAAACACAATCTAACATTTGCTTACAACCAAACACTTTTTTATTCTTGACTTCATTTGAAACCTTCTACATTCATAATCCATAACACTATATTGATAAAGTGTCATTTATACAGTTAGAGACTTGAAGGTATATCTAAGCTTTAGATTACGAAGTTTAATAAACATGAAACATCCATTCAATTTATCTGCTTCTAATCCATAATATTAACATTATTCTATACAAAAATATTTTTTAATTACACATTTACATACGCATCTTGTCTATTTTTTTCCTCATAAATACATAATACTCAATACTTCTTAAGAGATCCACAAGTATAATTCATATAAATAAACAATCAAAAATTTAAAATTTACTTTTAAATACAAACATTTAATATTTTTTTTTTTTTTAAATTAGACAACAAATTACTTCATTTCAAATTTAAAAATCAAATTTCCTCTCTTAAACTCTCAATTTTTTTTTCTAAATTAAGAAAGTTAAAAAGTAAAAATAAAAAAAATTCTTGAATTCAATATTCCCCAAAATATCCTTCACTTTTTCACTCTCCCTTCTTCTTGTTCTTCATTCCTCTTTCTCTCTCCTCACTCAATCAGTCATTCTCTCTCAACAATCAACAATGTCGCTCCTCTTCCGAGACAGGAGCTCACTTGGCGATTCCAAACGCGAAACCACTCCACCACCACACCAACCACCCTCTCAACCACCGTCATCTTCTCTCTCCTCTCCCTTCGCCGCCGACCTCACTTCCTCCCTCTCTCTCCTCGACCTCCGCTCCACCGCCTACGAAATCTTCGTCGCCGCTTGCCGCACATCCTCCGGCAAAACCCTAGCTTCCTCCTCCTCCTCCTCACCGACCTCCGCCGCAACAACCACCAATGGCGGCGCAAACTCCGGCGGAAGTGGAAACTCCGGCGGATTGCAGCGGTCGTTGACGTCGACGGCGGCGAGTAGAATGAAGAAGGCGTTAGGGTTGAGATCTTCCGGGGCGTCGAGTTTAGGGTTGAGGAGGAGTAGTAATGGCGGTAGTCCTGGGTCTCAGGTTGGTGAGAGTAGCCCTAAGAGTAAGCCTTTGACTGTTGGTGAGCTTATGAGAGTTCAGATGAGAGTTTCTGAGACTGTTGATTCTAGAATTCGCCGAGCTTTTCTTAGGATCGCTGCTTCTCAGGTCAGATCTCGCTTTAATTTCTGGTATTCCGTTGAATTTTTAGTTTAATTTCGAGTTTTCGAAGTTTGTAGATCGTAATGTAGGTGAATTTCGCCATTGTTGCAGAATTTGAGCTCAATTTCTCAATTAGTTCTACTACAGTTTTACGATTTGCTGGAAATTAAGTTAGATTTTATTTTTAATTGTATAAATCTTTCAGTATTTTTTAGGTTATTGAATTTGATTAATAATTGTTTAATTGGTGATCCGATGTATTGGTCAGCTTAGGATGATGAAATTGGTAAGTATGAGAAAATTAATCAATTTGAGCTTTTAATTGGTATGTTTGTCGGTGGATTCTATCTTACTTCACGCTAAAGATTTAAAAGGAAAAGGAGCTTTTTTGGAATTTTTTAGGATGTTAATTGTTGTATTATTATGCGTGATAATCAATTAGGTTGGTTGGTGAGAGGTATTGGAACTTGTTGGAAGGCGCGTAACTGCGTAAGCATTCTTCATCTTTAATCCCTTTATTTCCCCTGCAAGGAGAGGGAGTAGGTTCATTTGCTCGAATCATATGTATTTGACAATTTCTTTTTTTGTTTGAGTGTAGAGAGAGCTAAGCTAGTTGACGTCAACTGTTTCATTGAATTATGGAGTATATAGTTGTATATAGCTAATGGCTTGTAGTTTACACTGCTAGTAGCACGTCTGCTATGTTATGGCCTTCTATAATACACTGAATGTATATGGTGCTACTATTCTGGCGCTGATAGCACCGAAGTATAAACTGTTCTGGCACTGAACTGGGTTAAGGAATCTTGAGTTCTTAAATGCTTTGTAGTTGAATTGAACTTCAAAGTTTCAGCATTCTTCGGTCTGCGAGGAATAGTGGAATTTTTTTCCATGAAAGGAAAGGATGTGTGTTATATAACATTTATTGGCTTTTGAGAAAGTGTTAAAAGATCTCCAAGGTTTACTTAAAGCGTAAATCTCAAAACCAAAGTTCCCAAAATGAACTAGTTAAGAAATTTATTGAAGTGCCTCTAGACATCTAATGGGGGAAAAATGCCTCCCAAGTGCAAATTTTTCTCAACTGAGTTTTTGCTCATCCGGTCATCCCTCTTAGGCTGCATGTTTGGATTTTTCAAAATTGTTGTTGGGAAAAAAATTGTAGCAAGTTAAGCAACTGTAGTAGCTGTTAACTTCCTCTGACCTGTTGCTATATTGGACACTACAAACATGAAGAATTGTTATGTTTTTTTTTTAATAATAATTGAAGTCTTGCTATCTGTAACCATTTGTCCATCACACCAAATCTTATTGAAAATAAAATTTAGGATTGCGTATCCCAAGGATCAGTCCTCCTTCTTTTGCTACTTTCAATATCTCAAATAAAAATTTGTTGTAGTTTGATGTGTTTGATAGATACACTATGCTTCAAGAAACTGAACCAGTTACTGCTTTTATGTCCTTGTCACAGCTTGGAAAACGTATTGATAACCTTGTTCTTCCACTTGAGCTGTTACAACAACTGAAGTCATCAGACTTTACTGATCAGCAAGAATATGATGCATGGCAAAAACGAAATCTGAGGGTTCTTGAAGCTGGGCTTATCTTACATCCTTATCAGCCAATTGGTAAAGCTGATGCTGCTGCCCAGCGACTGCAAAAGATTATTCGAGGAGCTTTAGAGAGGCCTATAGAGACGGGAAAAAATAATGAATCAATGCAAGTTCTCCGCAGTGCTGTTGTGGCTTTGGCTTGCAGAGCTGCTGACGGATTATCGGACTCTTGTCACTGGGCTGATGGGTTCCCTATCAATCTCTGTCTCTATGAGATGTTGCTGGAAGCATGCTTTGATATTAATGATGAATCAACGATTATTGAAGAGGTTGATGAACTTATGGAACTTATCAAGAAAACCTGGCCTATTCTTGGCATCAACCAAATGTTGCATAACCTCTGTTTTACATGGGTTCTATTTAATCGTTTTGTTGCTACTGGTCAAGTGGAAAATGAACTCCTATCTGCAGTTGATGGTCAGCTAGAAGAAGTAGCAAAGGATGCAAAGACAACAAAGGATTCGGTATACTCTAAGTTTCTGAGTGCAACATTAACTTCAATCTTGAGTTGTGTTGAAAGAAGACTGCTTGCATATCATGACACGTTTGATAGTGTAAATATTAATACCATGCCTCATATAGTTTCAATTGGGATATCAGCTGCAAAAATATTAGTTGAAGATATATCTCATGAGTATCGTAGAAAGAGGAAAGGCGAAGTTGATGTGGCTCGTAGTAGAATTGATACATACATCCGGTCATCACTTCGTACTGCATTCGCTCAGGCAAGTTTATCTGTAGTCGTTAACTGTTTGTATAGGTTTGTTTAGATTATTTTTACTCTTTCCAAGTTCAACTCATATCTCTCAATTTCTTATATGATTTGGGAGGCATACATGTTCTAGGGGAATTGTCATGGAGCCTATAATGATAGGATATGTTACTCTTATTTTGTGTGAGACGCATGGAGGAACATTTGGGTGTGTATTCTCATACTGTGCATAATGACTATGATCTCTTGTGTGAATTTGCTAGATGGGTAGAAAATATACTTTTCTTGAGGAAATTTGTTACTATTTAGATTTGCTGGGTTGGTTTGGTATATGTGGATTTTATCCAGTTATTTGAGCAATCTACATTTTGGTTGTAGGAAAATGTAAGAGTTGTGGTGTTTCTCTATCATTGATTTATTATGTCCAGAGCTGATTGTAGATGCAAAATTATCTTTTCATGCAATTGATTTTTAAGCCCAGTTAATTCAGAATTCTAATATATATTTTTGTATTAACCACTGACGATAAAGATACATTTCGTTTATAAAACTGCAGAGGATGGAGAAGGCAGATTCAAGCCGGAGAGCAACAAAGAATCAACCGAACCCTCTTCCGGTTCTTGTAATCTTGGCCAAGGATGTTGGTGAACTTGCTTCTCATGAGAAGAAAGTATTCAGTCCAATATTGAAGAGATGGCATCCTTTGGCTGCTGGTGTGGCAGTTGCTACCTTACATGCTTGCTATGGAAATGAATTGAAGCAGTTCATTTCAAGCATATCAGAGTTGACACCTGATGCTGTGCAAATATTGAGAGCAGCTGACAAGTTGGAGCAAGATCTTGTGCAGACAGCAGTTGAGGATTCAGTGGATAGTGATGATGGTGGCAAAGGAATTATCCGTGAGATGCCACCATATGAGGCTCAAGCTGCCATAGCCAATTTGGTCAAAGTTTGGATGAAGATGAGACTAGATAAAATGAAGGAAAGAATTGACAGAAACATACAACAAGAGGTATAACCTATCTAAGTTTGCTTTGGTAGAAATAGGTTTATTTTACTTTACGATTCATAGTGACGTACACTTTCATGATGATTATAGACATCAACTTTCACCAAAAATATCGATATTTCCTTTGTACTTTGAGCTATAACATCAATTTTCTCCAAGATAGCCTATTTGTTTGTAGTTTAGTACTGTGGCAGAAAGGATAGTGCAGTTTTAGAAGCCAGATTAGTTTCATCTTTCATGTGATCCACTGTACAATCACTCTTTTTTGCCAAGCAAAATGGCTATCATGCTGAACTTTTATATTAACCCAACATTGACATTCCAACACGTATCTGTAATCCTAACTCTGCTTATTTATGGGATGAAAATTGCTGTAAACTGCACAAACTGCTTTGTACTCATCTAAGGGATGCTATGTCTTGACAAACAATTACCATTGCACTGTTGTCTTAACTCACCTATGGTGGATTGATGATGCCAAGTGTGTTTATTTACCCCCTGTCATTGCATGAAGTATGTTAGAGCCCTTGACTGTCAGAGATCTGGCCAGCATTGACTGATGGGCTACTTAACAAAAAAAAAAACTCAAGTATGCGTTATCTCTTTGTAGCCAACGAAGTGGATATTTGGCCAACTTTGGCATCTGGCTTTCCTAATTTTGTTGTGACAAAATTTTTTTATTGTGAGACATCAGGATTCTTTATGCTAATCACTTGTTGATTTAATCAGTCCTTGTGAAGGTTTATAAACATTTGCCAACATATTTAAGAATTTCAGTCCAACAAAGATTGTCAGTCTTGACTACTGTGATATAGCAATTTGTGTCCAAGTTCAGTAAATGTGACATCTTTGTTGGATGGAGGGCATTTATTAGCTCTTTATTAGACAGTTTTACAGAAATTTACTCATGTAGCCAGTAATAGGCTAATATAAAATTATGACAACAGATGTTTTTATGCCCTAGCTATGCCATGGCATGTCTGAGTCAGGTGCAGGACTATATTAAACAAATATGCATTGTGTTATTGTGTTGCTTATAGATGTATATTGGTACATGTATTTTCCTGTGTAGATTAAATTCTGTGGTTGAGTTGTTATTTTTGAAACCTCTCCCGTTGCAGCAAGTTTTTTTGTAATACTACCTGAATTTTGGTTTGGCATAAGCTAACCTTGTTTTCAAAAAAATGTTAGGCTTGGAATCCACGTGCTAGTCAAGAGGGACTTGCACCATCAGCCATTGAGGTACTGCGGGTCATTGATGAAATTTTGGATGCATTCTTTCAGCTACCTATTCCAATGCATCCAGCACTGCTCCCTGACTTAGTAGCTGGCCTTGACCGATGCTTACAGTACTTTGTAAGCAAAGCAAAATCTGGCTGTGGTACGTGCCTACCAATCTCTGGCTATTTCTACTTCTTACTTTTGACATAATAATCTCAATATTTTCCCTCGGTCACAGGAACACGTAGTACATTTCTGCCAACTATGCCGGCTTTAACCAGGTGTCCAATAGGGTCTAAATTAGGTGTATTTAAGAAAAAAGATAAACCAGTAAATTCTCAGAGAAAGAGCTCTCAAGTTGCCGTGAATGGGGATACTGCTTCTGGGGTGCCACAACTTTGTGTGCGTATAAATACCTTACACAAAATTCGGGCAGAGTTGGAAGCTGTAGAGAAAAGAATTATCACACATTTGAGGAATTGTGAGTCTGCTCGTGAAGAAGATTTTTCCAATGGTACAGGGAAGAAGTTTGAGTTGACACCAGCAGCATGCCTCGAAGCAATCCATCAACTTTCTGAGGCTGTAGGTTATAAACTAGTCTTTCATGATCTAAGCCATGTTCTATGGGATAATTTATATATTGGAGATGCATCGTCTTCTAGAATTGAACCTTTTCTACAGGAGTTGGAGCAGAACTTATTGGTCATATCAGACACTGTGAATGAAAGAATACGCACTCGGATTATTACTGACATCATGAAAGCATCATGTGATGGATTCTTGCTGGTTTTGCTTGCTGGAGGGCCCTATCGTGCCTTTTCTCAGAAGGATTCACAGATCATAGAGGATGATTTAAAAGCCCTTAAAGACCTTTTCTGGGCTAATGGTGATGGGTTGTCCACTGATTTGATTAACAAATATACATCTACACCAAGAGAAGTCCTTCCTCTCTTTCGAACTGATACAGAATCTCTCATTGAACGTTTTAGACAAGTGACTATTGAAACTTATGGTTCGTCTGCCAAATCTAGATTTGGGTTCCCGTTGCCTCCTACATCAGGCCAATGGAACCCTACTGAACCAAACACATTATTGCGTGTCCTGTGTCACAGGAATGATGATGCTGCTTCAAAGTTCCTCAAAAGAACCTATAATCTGCCCAAGAAACTGTAGTTAATTACACGGCTACCACTCTATTGTCAAATTTTGCTTCTGCAGAATGGCCCCATGGTTCTAGGTTGGTTAGCAAGCTTCAGTTGCTTGGTAAAGTTTTGTACATCTTTTAACTAAACAGCGGTTAAACACAAATGTGAACCTCGCCAGTCAAAAAGCTTCACGTATTTGGAGCAGGAGGACTTCCGAAGCTCCTACAGGCTTGCAATGGATGATTATCACTATATGTAGACTATTATTGCCTTTTCTACGGTAATTCATCATATTACTATTGTATTTTTCCTCAGTTTGCAGGCATTTGATAGCTCTGTGCTGCGCATTGTGGTGGTGTTTTCCTTGTTCCAGATGCTTGGCTGCTTCTGGTATGTGGCACAAGCACAGAAGGTTTGATACGATCTACCAGTGTTCATACTGTCATTTGTTATATGTATGTATTATAGTCATCTTTCATTCTTTTAGTGTAATTGAAATAATAATTCTTTTATAAAAAATATTCATTATTATTTGCCCTACCAAAATACCATATTGTTCTCTAAGAGCACTTACCAATTATGTATCAATTAGTAAGGGATTTGAAACAGTTGATCTTAGACATTGGTACAATAGTAATAAATAGGAAAAATTGAAAAGGATAATCCCATCTCTGGCACATTTGCTCAAAATAATCCCACCTTTACGTATTCCAGAAATAATCCCACCTTGTACCCCCATCTTCCCAAAATGATCTTTTTTACCTTCAACCTGTAAAACAGGTTAGATTTTTTTTTAAAATTTTTTTCCTTTAATCCCTCCCCTCTCACTTCACCCCTTCCATCATTGTCAACCACCTCTACACCACCACCTCCCACGCAATCACCACCGGTCCATCACCACCTCCACACACACCAGCCCAACTCCCATGCAGTCACCAGTTCACCTCGACTTCCCACGCAATCACCACGACCTCCCACGCAATCAACTCCCACGTAATTACCAGTTTTACCACCACCTCCACACACACCAACTCCCACACAATCACCACCTCCTCCACACACCAACTCATTGTCAACCACCTCCACACCACCACCCACAATCTTAATTGGGCTGCAAATGCTGAATTGGGTTAAATTAGGGTTGCAATTGGGGAAATTGGGCTGTTAGAGGTGTAGGATTGCGGGACTGCGATTTTTTCGTTATTGGTTTGGGTGAATGGTTCATGGGGAGTGACGGGGAAGGAAGTTGATTAAAACTCCATCCTTACCCACATCCTCACCCCCGAATTTGCAGACAACGTTCTCATGCTCACCTCACCACTAGTTTTAATGGGTTAGGGAAGGGGATGGGTCGTCTATTCGGCGAGGATAGGGGGTGGGGGTTGCTGTTCGATGGGGAAGAGGGGAGTTGGGTAGGAAGAGGGGAAGGGGAAGGAGAAGGAATCGGGGAGGGAGAAGAAATCGAGGAAGAAAGAAGGAGGGAGGTGACTTCCAGGTTTTTTCAGCGGTGGCAGGCGGTGGCGGGCCGTTTCAGTCCAGCGATGAAGGGGGTGGTCGTACACGGGCTGGGCTTGGGAGCTTTTTTTTTTTAATTATTTACAAAAAATAATAGGACCAATTAGAAGGTGACAAGTGTCAAGTCACCTTCTAAAACAGGTTACTAATTTCATAAACCGGTAAAAGGATCATTTTGGGAAGACAAGGGTACAAGGTGGGATTATTTCTGGTATACGCAAAGGTGGGATTATTTTGAGCAGATGCGCCAAAGGTGGGATTATTCTTTTCAATTTTTCCTAATAAATATTAGTAAGAATATGTCGTCATTATTAGAGCTGTCAATTCGAGTAAACGGGTCGGGTTTAGGTCGGTAAGAGTGGGTTGGGTTAATTCAGATTAATTTCATAACCTATGTGGGTCGGGTTTGAGTTGGGTCATGCTTGAGTCGGGTGATACTTCTTATCGGGTTTGGGTCAGGTTTAGGTTAGGTTCATAAAAGGTCAGGGTTACATTCGGGTCGGGTAAACATTAGGTGGGATTTAATTCGGGTTTTCACGGGTTAAAATGGGTTAGGGTAATTCTCGGATTCGAGTCAGGTTCGGTTCAAGTCAATAATTTGCGGGTCAGAATCAAGTCAGGTCATTCTCGGGTTTGAGTCAGATTCGGTTCAAGTCAATAATTTGCGGATTATAATTAGGTCAGGTTGTTTTCAAGTCGGGTCATTCTCAGGTTCAAGTCGGGTTCGATTCAAAGTCAATAAATTGTGGGTTATAATCAGGTTGGGTCATTTCCAAGTCGGGTCATTCTCGGATTCAAGTCAGGTTATGTTCAAGTCAATAATTTGCAGGTTACAATCAGGTCGGGTCATTTCTAAGTTAGGTCGTATTCAGGTTCAACTAACTATAAATTGATAATTATCATTTTTATCAAGCTAATTATTTCCTTTGATTATAATATATATGGCAATATACTAGGGAACTATAGTCTATAATTTAGGAAGATAATTATCTCCTTTGACCATACAACAAATATATACTATATTTAACTCTTAAATTTGAGGATGATGCTCCTTTCTTTTGCTGGCTTGGACCGACTTGGTCTCCCAAGACAAAATGCTTTGATCAACAATAATAAGTTGGTCTAATTTACATTTAAGGTGATGTGAAATCGGGTCAGGAACTGTTAGAGGAAATGGTTGATAATTGAAGTAATTAGCAAGAACAATTAAGAAATTTGATAGTAAAAGAGACAAGAAATTGGAAGGTGGGAAAATCCTTCAAGCAATTACTTGAAGACTATAAAACCCACCCAAGAACAAGGAGAATGATTGTATTGATTTTAATTAGTGTTTACAAGAGTAATCTCTCACTAATTTCCACTCTCAAGCACAAGGGTTTCAAGAACAAGAACCCTAGCTCTAATTGTGTTTCACTCAATTTGGGGATAATGAACAAAATAACCCTTTATGGGTATTTATACCCCCGACGGGTTTGGACAGGGTATCAGGTAGGCACGGATGTGCCAAATATGGCACAGTCGTGCAAGCCCAAATAACTCATTCCAATAGCTACTGCTCGTCTGGAACTGCAGCGGCACGGACGTGCCATATTTGGCACGGACGTACATCCCCTGTTCGCGTCAGCACAGACAGCTCGTAGTAAAATAGCTATAACTTCCTCGTTTCTTATCGGAATTAAGCTTATGACCTATCATTGGAAAGCTCTTGAAACAAGCTTTCACATCCAACTTAAATCACCTCAAAACTCCAAGTAGTTTGAGAGATATGCTCAGTTGAAGTTGACCCATCCAATGCTTCCTTGCTTGACACAAGTAATTCATCCCCTTAGCTTATATGCCAAGCCTCGATTGATTCTCGAGTCACATTCCAACAGGAACAATTTGGGTTGAATTTAGGTCAGGTCAATAACAAGTCGTGTTAATTTGGAGTCGGGTTAGTAACAGATCAAGTTGAATTTTTGGGTTGGTAAGTAAATAGGTATTGTAAAATTCGTGTCGGATCAATAACAAGTCTGGTTGAATTTGGGTCAGCTCTATAACAAGTCAGGTTGATTTCGGGTCAGGTTTGTAACAGGTTGGGTTAAATTCAGGTTGGGTTAGGAAGGGGTCGGGTTGAATTCAGGTCAGGTTAGTAACAATTCGGTTTAAATTCGGGTTTGGACAGGTTAAACAGGTTTGGGTCAATTTCGGTTCAAGTTGGGTTCAGTGCAAGTTAATTAAATTGGCCGTTGTAAACCGGTAAATAGGTGCAAGTTGTAAACCAGCAAATTAGTCGTTTAAAAGCAAATTGAATGGTTCCATACACCCAATTGGACTCCCGGAGGATATTAGGGACCATGGTAAACATTTCAACAATTTTTATTTCTAGGCGAAAAAAAATAAAAAATTCCAAAATTGAAGACTAATATCCACGCTTTTTGAGAAATTTTGGAGGTTTCGGGGCCCGGTGTCGAAAAGTCTTGAAATTCTATGTGATACATCTCGGAGTCATATAATGCCGTTTGGAACCATATATGATCATTATTTGCTGTCATAAATGTTCGTGGTAGGCTTGAATTAATGAAATCGGTGCAAGTTGTAAATCGGTAAATTGGTCTTTTAAAGGCAAATTGGATGGTTCCACCCACCCAATTGGACTCCCGGAGAGTATTAGGGACGATGGTAAACATTTCGGTAATTTTTATTTCCGGGCGTAAAAAATCAAAAAAAATTCAAAATTGAAGGCTAATATCCACGCTTTTTGAGAAATTTTGGAGGTTTCGGTGCCCGGTGTAAGAAAAGTATTAATATTTTAGATAATACATCTCGAGGTCATATAATTCCGTTTGGAACCATATATGATCATTATATGTTGTCATAAATGTTCGTAGTAGGTTTGAGTTGATGAAATTCGTGCAAGTTGTAAACCGGTAATTAAATTTGTCGTTTAAAGGCAAATTGGATGGTTCCACTAACCCAATTGGACACCCGGAGGGTATTAGAAACCAGGATAAACATTTGGGCAATTTTTATTTTCGGGCGAAAAATGTCAAAAAATTCCAAAATTGAAGACTAATATCCACGCTTTTTGAAATATTTTGAAGGTTTCGGGGCCCAGTGGCAAAAAGTGTTGAAATTTTATGGGATACATCTCGGGGTCATATAATGTTGTTTGTAACCACATATGATCATTATTTATTGTCATAAATGTTCATGGTAGGCTTGAGTTAATGAAATCGATTCAAGTTTAAATCGTTAAGATTGGTCGCTTAAAAGCAAATTGGATGGTTCCACCCACCCAATGGGACTCCCAGACGGTATTAGGGATCATGGTAAACATTTCGGCAATTTTTAATTCCGAGCTAAAAAAAGTCAAAAGTTTCAAAAATGAAGACTAATATCCACGTTTTTTGAGAAATTTCGAAGGTTTCGGGGCCCGATGTAGAAAAGAAATGAGATTTTATTAGATACATCTCGGGGTCATATAATGATGTTTGAACCATAAATGACCATTATATCTTGTCAAAAATGTTCGTGGTAAGCTTGAGTTAATGAAATAAGTGCAAGTTGTGAACCGGTAAATTAACCATTTAAATGTAAATTGGATAGTTCTACCCACCTAATTGGACTACCGGAGGGTATTTGGAACCATGGTAAAAATTTCGGCAATTTTTATTTAGGGCAAAAAAAGTCAAAAAATTCCAAAATTGAAGGATAATATCCACGTTTTTTGAGAATTTTTTTAGGTTTCGGGCCCCGGTGTCAAAAAGCTTTGAGATTTTAGGGGATACATCTAGGGGTCATATAATTCTATTTTAAACCATAAATGATCATTATATGTTGTCATAAATGTTCGTGGTAGGCTTGAGTTAATGAAATCGTTGCAAATTGTAAACCGGTAAATTCATCATTTAAAGGCAAATTGGATGGCTCCACAAACCTAATTGCACTCCCAGAGGATATTAGGGACCATGGTAAACATTTCGGCAATTTTTATTTGCAGGCGAAAAATAGGTCAAAAAATTACAAAATTTAAGGCTAATTATCCACGCTTTTTAAGAAATTTTGGAGGTTTCGAGGCCTAGTGGCTAAAATTCTTGTGATTTTAGGGGATACATCTTGGGGTCATATAATACCGTTTGGAACCATATATGATCATTATATGTTGTCATAAATGTTCATGGTACACTTGAGTTAATGAAATCAGTGCAATTGTAAACCGGTAAATTGGCCCTTAAAGACAAATTGGATGGTTCACCCCAGCCAATTGGAATCCCGGAGAGTATTAGGGACCATGGTAAACATTTTGGCAATTTTTATTTACGAGCAAAAAATAGTTAAAAAATTCCAAAATTAAAAGCTAATATCCATGTTTTGTAAGAAATTTCGGAGGTTTCGGGACCCGGTGTCCAAAAGACTTGAGATTTTAACGAATAGATCTCGGGGTCGTATAATGTCGTTTAGAACCATTTATGATCATTATTTCTTGTCATAAATGTTCGTGGCAGGCTTGAGTTAATGAAATCGGTGCAAGTTGTAAACCGGTAAATTGACCGTTTAGAGGTAAATTGGTGATTCAACCCACCCAATTGGACTACCGGAAGGTATTAGGGACCATGGTAAACATTTCGGAAACTTTTATTTTCGGGCGAAAAAAGAAAAAAAAAATAACAAAATTGAAGGCTAATATCCACACGTTTTGAGAAATTTTTTAGGTTTTGAGACCGGGTGTCGAAAAGCATTGAGATTTTAGGGGATATATCTCCGGGGCATAATACTTTTTTAAACCATAAATGATTATTATATGTTGACATAAAGTGTCGTAGTAAGATTGAGTTAATGAAATTAGTACAAGTTGTAAACCAGTAAATTGGTCGTTTAAAGGCAAATTGGATGGTTCCACCCACCCAATACTCCCAAAGCGTATTAGAGACCATGGTAAACATTTCGACAATTTTTTTTTTCGGAGGAAAAAAGTCAAAAAATTCAAAAATTGAAGGCTATTCCATGCTTTTTTTTGAATTTTTGGAGTTTTCAGGACCTGGCGTCGAAGAGTTTTGAAATTCTAGGGAATACATCTCGGGGTCATATAATGTCGTTTGGAACCATATATGATCATTATTTGTTGTCATAAATTTTCGTTGTAGGCTTGAATTAAGGTGTAAGATGTAAACTGGTAAATTGGTCGTTTAAAGGCAAATTGGATGCTTCCACCCACCCAATTGGACTCCCCGAGGGTATTTGGGACCATAGTAAACATTTCGGCAATTTTTATATCCTGGCGAAAAAAAAGTCAAAAAATTCCAAAATTGAAGGCTAATATCCACGCTTTTTGAGAAATTTCGAACGTGTCGGGGCCAGGTGTCGAAAAGCATTGATTTTAGAGGATACATCTCGGGGTCATATGATGCCGTTTGGATCCATATTTGATCATTATATGTTGTCATAAATGTTCTTGGTAACCTTGAGTTAATGAAATCGGTTCAAGTTGTAAACCAGTAAATTGGTCCTTTAGAGACAAATTAGATTGTTCCACTTACCCAATTGGACTTTCGGAGGGTATTAGAGACCATGATCAACATTTCGGTAACTTTTATTTCTGGGCGAGAAAAAGTCAAAAAATTCAAAAATTGAAAGCTAATATCCACGCTTTTTGAGAAATTTTAGAGGTTTCGGGTAGAGCTGTCAATTCGGGTAAACGGGTCGGGTTTGGGTGGGTAACAGTGGGTCGGGCCAATTTGGATTAATTCCATAACCTATGTGGGTCAGATTATGTTAGGTCATGCTTGAGTAGGGTCACGTCGGGTCATACTTCTTATCAGGTTTGGGTCGGGTCAATAACTGGTCAGGTTACATTCGGGTCGGGTGAACAATAGGTCAGGTTTAATTCGGGTTTTCACGGGTTAAAGTAGGTTAGGATAATTATTCGGTTTGATTTGGGTTCGGTTCAAGTCAATAATTTGCGGGTCAGAATCAAGTCAGGTCATTCTCGGGTTTGAGTCAGATTCGGTTCAAGTCAATAATTTGCGGGTTATAATCAGGTTGGGTCATTCTCGGGTTCAATTCGGGTTCGTTCAAGTCAATAATTTTCGGGTTATAATCATGTTGGGTCATTTACAAGTCGGGTCATTCTCGGAGTCAAGTCGGGTTATGTTCAAGTCAATAATTTACAGGTTACTATCAGGTCGGGTCATTTCCAACTCAAGTCATATTCGGGTTCAATTAACTGTAAATAGATAATTATCATTTCTGTCAAGCTAATATTTCCTTTGACTATAATATATATGGCAATATACTAGGGAACTATAGTCTATAATTTAGGAAGATAATTATTCCCTTTGACCATACAACAAACATATACTATATTTAACTCTTAAATTTGAGGATAATGCTCCTTTCTTTTGCTGGCTTGGACCGACTTGGTCTCCTAAGACAAAAATGCTTTGATCAACAATAATATGGTGGTCTAAATTACATTTAAGGTGATTTGAAATTGGGTCAGGAACAATTTGGGTTGAATTTAGGTCGGGAAAACAACAAGTCGTGTTGATTTCGAGTCGGGTTAATAACAGATCAGGTTGAATTTTTAGGTCGGGTTAGTAATAGGTCTGGTAAAATTCGGGTCGGGTCAATAACAAGTCAGGTTGAATTTGGGTCAGGTCAATAACAAGTCGGGTTGATTTCGGGTGGGGTTTGTAACAGGTTAGGTTAAATTTGGGTCGGGTTGAATTTAGGTTAGGTTAGTAACAAGTCAGGTTAAATTCGGGTTTTGACAAGTTAAAACGGATTTGGGTCAATTTCGGTTCAAGTCGGGTTCGGTTCAGGTCAACAATTACGGGTTACATTCGGATCGGGTCATCTCCAGGTCAGTTCATGTTCGGGTTCGAGTCTCACATACTCGGGTCAACTCGGGTCTAGGGTTGGTTTCACCGTTTGAGGTTGGGTCAGGTCGGGTTTTGGTCACCATTTTTTCGGGTTCAGATGGGTCGGTTAATAATCAAGTTTGAATCGGTATTTCTGGTCGGGTCAACTTTGGACAGCTCTAGTCATAATACTTGTTGGAAAATAATATTCATATCCTAATGGTTATGGAAGCTAAGGTATACCAGATATTTCTTCATCTGTTACGAAAGGATTATCCTTACAATAGCTTCAAGGAAATAACAAACAAGACATGCACTGCATCGTCTTCATTAGACAAATTCACCCTACATTACAGCAACTAGTAACTACAAAGCAAAACTCTTAATCAAACCCATAATCAATCTATTTAGCACTATGATGTAAAGACAACTCTATATTCTCTTCAATGCCCAGGTTGTTTCCTCTTTTGCTGTCAAAACAGTTCACTCGCCACGATATTTTTCTTCAGTATTTACTATGACCGCTAATTTACTTGTACAAAGCTCTAATGTTACATTCCTTACCTAGCTACAATCCTATCACCCCTCACCACATAGTGTTACATCTCTTACCAACTGCAAAGATGGGTATAAATTATAGCAGATGAACCATTACACAATTAATTTAATATGACTATTTGGTATGGAACACCTTTTCCACGCATATAGGCTTGTTACTTGCAGAAACTTCAAGGATAGAGCAGCGATGAAGTAACGAATGCAAATATTCCTGGTTTGATCTGTTGATGGCTTCATGCCAATAATTTTCAGACCGATTGGAAAGTGGTGATGCATGACTGAATTCATTCAAAATTACGCAAAATGTCACTGCTCTTCAAGAATAGCACGCCCAAGATTTGTAGCAAGAGCCAACCGGACAGAACTCAATGCTTGGGTTGGAAGGTCAGCTTCGACATAATCAGGACGCATCCTCGCAATAGACAACTCTTGCAACTTATTCAGCAATAGGTTGGTCTGTGCAACATCAAGAAGAGGACCCTCTCGCCACGTGAGCAGTTTCAACTGCCAATAACAGCAATTATGAATTGATGGTGATGAACAAAGTCATTAAAGCTTACATACATAAAAGAGCACGTCATTATTAGAGAAACAGCTTACGAGCTACATAATTATAATTCCTCTACAGAACAAAGTCAAAAAAAATATGAAAACTTTGGTCATACAGTAGCCTCACAATCCTAGACGTGACATATTAGAAGCTATCTTACCGAGTCATAAAGAAGAGGTAACCAGAATCGTTGAGGCGTAGATGAATTCTTCATGAGCTGCAAAATAATAACAAAAACTTTTGTAAATGCCAAAAGAAGAGAGATCAGGAGAAGAGGTTGAACCGTTGAAGACTATCATTTCTTCATTATAGATTGAGATCTACTAAACATGACAGGTCACTCTGTAAAACTTAAAGTTATGCAAGCACATAGAAGATCTCCTAAATGATGGCAATAAGGGGGACATGTACAACTATTTAGATGTAAGGTGATTTAGAAATTATAAACAATTTATACCATAATGAGGGATTCCACTGCTTGCCTTGCAGCATCAGTAGCTTTTCCATCAACAACTTGCTGCAGGGATCTTTTGAAATCTCTGTACCTGAATGAAATTAAGGGCATAAATGAAATTAGAAAAAATGACTTAGCAAATCAAGGACAAATTACAAGAATAAAATGACTAAATATGTCTCCTCCATGTATGAACTGAATATATGGACTAGGTAAGCAACATACTTGTGCAGAAACTCCAGACCCCCGGCAGTTCTTGTGTCAGAACCTAATAGTTCAATCAATCCTTCCCATTGCTGCAAAAATTAAATCATAAAAGTCCTTTGAATATAAGGCCACATGAGTTCATGAGCATCAGAATACTAATGGCATGGAATATTTATAATTAGGCCTTGTTTGGTTGGCTAAATATTTTGTGGGAAGTCAAAATTCCCAAGAATTTCATTTTCACCCTCTTGTTTGGTTAACACAAAAAAAAAAGTGAAAATGGGGGTAATGAGAATTCATGGGAATTTTGACTTCCCACAAAACATGGGAATTCACTTACCTTACCCCCCCCCCCCCCCCGGTAAGTTGAAATTCCCATGGGAATTTACTTCCTCCATTCTAAACCAAACAAATTTGTTAAATTCCCATGATTTAGATGATGGAATTTATTTCCCACAAATTTAAATTTCATGGGAATTTACACTTCCCTGATGAAACAAACGACCCCTTAGTAGGCCAAATTAAAATATTATTACCTTGAAGCTCTCTTCAGATATTGATTTCCCAACAAAATCAAACAACTGCTGAGCTATTTTATTGAGACGAATTTCATCCTGAGCTTGTTGGAGCCAGAAGATACCAGACCCCTTTCGACCATGCTTCCAGTGATGTATGCCAGCAATCTGACATGGGGCAGATTTACTATGTTATTCTAGAATTATGCAAGGATTATCTCTCCTGGATTTACTAATGTACTGTAATAGAATCAATGAGCAATAGCATGCCTTTAAGGGACTCAAACAATACACAGAATCAAAGCATAACTAAATCAAGGAATACCTTCATGATATTTGAGCTGACATCATCAAGTTCATATAAACAGCAGATCTCTAGGCTCTGTTCAAATTAAAATTATCAGAAATCAGCAAAAAGTTAAGGAGGCCATAGGTTAACCAACATCATACTCACTTTGAGCAATCCTTGCTTGAAGTGTACAGGTTGCCTATACAGTAAAATCTCTAACATGCCTATTCCTGGCTTGCACGATGTCAAATATACTGGAGCAATCTGGAAACAAGTCAGATGAGATTAGAATGGAAAATATGCTCCAACAAAAGATACAAGAATGCACTCAACACAATGTCAGAAGCCTCAAGGGGACTAGGGGTATACTGGATGGATAGATACTTAGGAGTCAAAATTGGACTTTTAAATCCAACAGGCTGAGCTCAAATCTAGTCCAAAAATCCAGAAGTCATGAAATTAGAGTCCAAATCAGCAAACAAAACTACAACTCTATGGTGTTTTTAGCTGTAAACTAATCATCATTGACGAAAATAGTTAATGCAGTACAAATTAAAAACACTAAAACTTCTTAAATTTCACTTTAATTTCCTCATCCAAAGATGCCATAAATTATTTAGCATTGGGCCCTTATTTAAACTAATGTCTTCTGATAATTTCTAAGTCTTTTTCTGCCCAATACCCCACTTAGACACTATTGATCACAATATTATGGGGGGAAAGGCAGAAGATAGTTGTCAACTGCAAACATCACATTAGATTAGTTCTTAGTTGTACATCAGCAAGGCATATACTCACCTGCCAAGTTAATTGATGAGAAGCGAGAACTTGAGCATATACAAGCCGATGGAGCTCCTCGATACTAACCCCTCCCAGGTTCCGGCGCACTTCATGCAAAAGAATTTCCGACTGATCATTTCCAGCAGTCAACAACTCTATAGCATGGGTCACCATCCTACAAGTAAGCAAATTAGTCTATCACTGATTGAAATTTGGAAGAAAGAATAATGCTTCGGAATGGGGTCACTGCCTCTTGATTAACATCAAAATCAACAAGGGAAAAGAAAAGGATGCAACTCAAGAAAAAATGACTATACTGAAATTCAATTGCAATCGTCTTTTCATGGATCATAATTTGATGTTTGCATTGAAGCAAGAACAAAAAATTCCAGTGAAGCCTACAAAATAAAGACAAACAGATAATAATATGCTCATAGCTACTCACCAAGGGCCAAAAGCACTAGAGCATTCCGCCAAGACAACCTAAAGTAAGCAGAAGAAGAAGACAAAATTCATAATTAGAAGCAGCAAAGATGAGGTCTTTCAGTAATTTCAGACTTGAGAGAATATTAACAGCTGAATTACTAACTAACTGCCTCAAATCCAAAATAACAGTCATTATAACCAATTTTTACATTACAAATGCAACATCAGACTCATATTATATTTTGACCATTTTATATAATCAATGGAATATTAATGCCATTTCACAATACCGAGATGATTTGACCAAATCTAAATATGTATTAATAACGTATATCATATTTTGAACAAGAGAGATTAAAAAAAAGTACATCATAAAGAAAACAAAGAATTAAGAAAATGCTAGCATCACATGCCCCACCTCAGTATTTGCTCCGAGAATCCCAACCATAAGTCCCATCAAACTATGAGGATGAGAAACAGGCTTCAACTGTATGCATTTCTGGGCCAGGCCACAAACTTTCTAACCCCTGATTCAAAAGAAATTCTTTACTACATTTTACCACAGTAGATCACCAAGTTTTTCAATGATAAAGTATTTATATATGCATATCATCAACACTAACCACTGTGAATGGCCTGATGTATAGAAAGTGAGATATGTAAAGTTCAACCCAATTGCATGTTGTAGCAGAAAGATGTTCAGTGTTTCCCAGCATAATCTGTAGAATTTTTCTCAAACCCTCTCTGGTTTTCTGGTGCCCACAATCAACCCAGAAAGAACTGCACTCCAACTTAGTAACTCGTGCACGCCATGTCTCCCAAACGTAGGTACAAAACATTAGCATAAAACAGAGCCCATTAGCCATGTGTCACAATTGGCCTAGAAGCAGCTATGAATAAACTATGAAAGGACCATCGATATACCTTGATGAAGTCAGACTTATTTCTATAGCATTCCCCCAATCTTCCAGCTTGCAATTCAGGACGTAGACGTGGCATTTTTGAAACAAGAACAACTACTGCTTCAACCAGACCATTTTCTGTCTATTCCAGATACAAAAAAAAAAAAAAAAAAAAAAATCTAATTGTGAGCCCATAATTTGATCATAAACAAACAAGAGTGATTTATACATAAAATGTATGGGCATAAAAGGATCTTCTATTTCATATACCATCTTAAAATTAATATTTGAACTTGCAAATTGAAGGTTTAGCATTCAGAGAGGGATGCCAAGAAAAAGTTAACAAATGAATTTACTACGTAAAAAAAAATGACTACCATGGGACATCAAACAGCATGAAGAAATTCATTCTAGGATACAGATTGTTAACAAGAGATTTTTAGCGCTTTCAGAATAAACCATCAGCAGCTTCTTTATCCCAAATAACTTGTGGAATGGAAACAGCATGTCGAGAAATGTGAAAGGACAAACATATGATGTTTGATGTACCATATACAAGATGGTCATGCAAAATAAAGATAATTTCCAGCAGATCCCAATACAGCCCAGATTAATTACAGTATACATTCCTTGGTAAGATCCAATAGCAAAACCGCACATGCAAGAAAAAGCAGCAATAATTGAGCTTAATACAGATGCATAACATGCGTTGATCACCAGATTTGCCACCACAGAGAGTTTGCAGAATGATCCTTTTGTACATGGGACATGGGAAGGTGTTCACATCGAAGAAATGGGTCCCAGCAACAAAAATTACAAAGTGTCAAGACTAGAAGATTTGTAGGCAAAGCATCATCTGGTGAAGCACGAACCCATGAAGGTTGTCTCAACCATTTAAATCCAAGGTCTTTAATCAAGCAGAGTAATCCTCATCCATCATGACAAGTACTGCTTTTGATAAGGCAGGTTCACACAGAGGAAGCAGATAGAGTGATAATTTCTTGCCGATCATTCTTCCTAAAGTGAGAATTGCATAAAAATTTCTGCAAGGGCTTATAGTTTAAGTGATTAAGACATACAGGTCATAACACATAGGATGAATCTCCCCATTGACCCAAGGACAAGACTAGAAAGTTTTTTAAGAAAAGTATGTCCAGTATCAAATATCAATATGGTAGCAGACTGAAAGTCCCACAAAATACCATCTCCAGCCATCTCATATAATAAGCTGTTGAACAGCTGAATAAAAAATGTTCGCAAATATTTTATTTTTGTGGAAGAATATGCACAACGTTAGTGTGTTTCGAGACTCCTGAGTATGTCTCAACATCGTAGTCTAAGCTTCTTCTCAGCAGTTTATCTGTGCAGTGGGTAGAATGCTAACTTTCCGGTCCCCTCAGCAGTCAGCACATGACTAAAGCAACAATAACAACTATTGCCATACCAAGATAACACTTCCTCAAGCGATATGACAACTATTGTCATACATAGTAAGACTTCATTCTACGAAAATTTTAAGGAATGCAGCAAGAAACAGTTTGATACCAGAAAGACAACAAGCTAAAAGTGAAGGAAACACTGAAGTAGTACTAGAGAAATTTAATAAGAGCCACGGACACAAAATAGGAAAGAACAACTGATTTCCTTACCTCACGTTTTCCAATCTGATCAAGTTCATATGACCCGTGTAGACGTAGTAGTTTAACCTGCAAGCAACAACTAAGAGATCACACATCAAGCTCTATCAAAGGCATTCATGTCACACTGCTTTCACATCCACATACCACAATATCCAACCAGCCAAGAGCTAGCGCTGATGACAAACAATCCCAGTACTTTGGATCATCCTCAACCACCTGCATATAGATAATTTCAGGATGTAAAAACATTTTCAAAGCCAAAGGTGTATTTGCAATCTAGTCTTAATCCAACAAAAAATAGCAAAACTCGTGCTTAATTTACTTTTTAGAGGAACATTCATGCTAGATTGAAGAGCCTGTACAATGCCAATTAGTACATTGGTCCTCTACAATATTTGATTTTATTTTATTTTAAAAAGCAGCTAGAAGGAACGTTTTAGCATAAGAAAACTACCTGGAAATGCAAAAGATGATGTTGCAAATCCAAAAGTTTTGAGTACACCGTATGTTGAGTTTCTGAAAAGAGGTTATCATAGTCCTGGCAGAACAAAACAGAAAATAATAATAATTAGCCAGAATTTGAGCACCACACAAAGCAAAGGTGCTAGTATTTGAAACACCGTAACATAATAAAGCTAAAGATTTTTACAGCTAGCCAATCAACAAGACGTTCAGGTAGCCAAGTTTGAGACTGTTTGTCAGCATAAAAGATTTCCAGTAGCTCCCATGCAGCCTTTAAACTTGTTGGTTCCTCATCTACCTAAATAATCAAGGACATAAGAGTGCACAAATTCAATTGAAATTGAAAAGTGTCAACAACAGGGACTAGTGGCTACAATTGAGCATTCATTTTCATATTACTTCTTTAATCACTTCCACTAATGTGGCCACACAAAAATTCAAATAGAAAAAAAAATTCGCATAATTACCGTCAGAATTCTTCTAGGGTCTTCAACAATTGAACTAGCCATTGACTTTGTTGTACCAAGAAGTGAGTTTATCTCCTTGCTATACTCCATGACATACTCCCACCTGGTCATCTCTAACATTGTGAATGACCAATCCCAAAAGATATAATGCATGCAACTAACTAAGCATCAAATGAGAAAAATACGTAAAAACTTAATGAAATTAACACTAATCAATGAGTCAAAAAAACAGTTGCACAGACAAAGTAGCAAATTCCAACCTAGCATACAGCAAGAATTCAAGAGCTCTTAGAAACAAAAGCAACACGATAAAGTTGCAGTTTACAGTTGTGGTTCAATAACTAGATGTCAGGATCCATCGTTTAATATTTTAATACAACAGATTTCCACGCTTAGAAGAAGATGTGAACGTGAATAGCTTCAACGTAACATTTTTCTTCTATTATTTATGACTCTGTTGAGTCTGTTCCCCATTCTGAAAGTAAATCAAGTCAAAAAGGATTTGGAGCCCAATTGTCCTGCATTAATAAGGAAAAATTCATAGAGTTACTAGTGATTTGCAATCAAGCTTCGATTTCGAAACCTTTCACCTCCTATAACTCCAATTACCATTCATAGACTCACATTTGAAAGTATTAAACCAATCAAAAACCAAAGTGTCCATTTGCTACATCATTAAATCACTTCTAAGTCATCCTTTAAATTCACCTATCATAAGTTCAGTAAGGAGGTCCTCAATAAGCATTGCCAAATGGCCCAAATCCTATTATAATATCACTGTGGCACTCAATTTAAGTATCTTTTGTCAACTCTTAAACCGTTATTGAGCAATCAAACTCATACTAGAAACCAATATAAGCTTTAAAAGCAAATTTCCCAAGACAACGAACACAAAATGCACAAACAAAAGATCTGAGCTTGACTCAACTTTTTTTCCATTATGTGCCAAAAAGTGAAAAAACTCTTAACATTGTTCAGTAATCAAGACCGATTGTATAGCAACCTAGATTTACCTTATAATAATTTCTCCATCATATGCAATAATGAACACAATCCAGTAACATGCCAAAATCATAGATTCTAACACACGTAAACAAGTAAACCATACCATAATCAAAGCTCAAACTTTCAACAACTTAGTAATGTATATAAACCATGAAGATTATATGACACAAAATTAGATAACAAATAACAATTCAAGCTTAAGAAATAAAAACTAATAATAATTCAATCAAACAGAAATTCTAAAACACGTAAATATGTAAACCAAACCATAATCAAAGCCCGAACTTTCCACAATTTAGTAATGTATATAATTCATGAAGATTATATGATACAAAATTAGATAACAAATAACAATTCAAGCATAATAAATAAAAAATAAATAATAATAATAATTCAATCAAACAGAAATAAAAAATGTAAATCATCAAAAGTCAAAATTACCAATCAACATTGGGCAAAGAAAGCTTAGACAAAGCGAAAACCGAATTCTTCCGATTCTGAAACATCGCAAACGGAGCAACAGAACCATAAACAATCCTCCTCCATTGAGAATCATCATCAATTCCACTATTTCCAGCAGAAAGCTTCACCTCCACGACACTACCACCACCGGAAGAATCACCGCCGCCATTAACATGGTTGCCGCCATTAGAGGAAGGTTGAGGGAGGAGAGAGAGTCGGAGAGAGTTGCCGCGAGACCAGGAAATGGCGATGCGAGAAATAGGGGAGGAGAGAGAATGGCGGAGAGGGTAAACAATGGGTTGTTGTGGAGGAGATGGTGGAAGTGGGAGGAGAGAGAGTTGGTCGTCGGAATTTGATGCCGACGCCGGCATGTTTTAGGGTTTTTTTGGAATTTGGGGGTTTTGTTTAAGGGAGGGAAGTTGGGACTTAGGAGTGAGAGTGTGGACTGTTTATTTGTGTTTGACACTTTGACTTGCACCGATTGAATGTGGACTTTTTCACTTTCAATTGATATTACGGTATATTCTCTCTCTTTCAAAATTATTCAAGGTGTAATCTAAAGAACGTTTTACCAAATTGAGCTTTAAACGGAAACTATTTACGAAAATGGTTGCGTGGCAAAACTATTTACCAAACTAAGCTTCCAGCATAAAACGCTGTCTCGGACAGCGTTTTACCCCTAGTTTTTTTTTTTAAAAAAATTCAACTACAACTATTTTATATGTTCAACATAAAGCTCTGTCTCAGACAGCGCTTTATGCTTGAACATAAAGCGCTGACTCAGACAGCGCTTTATGCTTGAACATAAAACGCTGTCTCAGACAGCGCTTTATTCTTGAACATAAAGCGCTGTCTCAGACAGCGCTTTTCTGCTGGAAACAGCAACCAGCATCCAGGCAGAAAACAAGCTTCAGCAAACAGCTTGCATGCTGCAGTCCTCCAACAGCCACCACAACAGCCAGCTCCACAGCCCTACCCCACCACCGTCGACCACCAACTCCGCCACTCCCCACCACGTACCACCACCATATTCTGGGAGTTCCGTCAACTTTAAGCACTGCAGAAAACTCGAAACAGCCCAACAACAGTCCAACCACCAAATTAACTTCAAAGCACACACGGAGGCATTCAAAAAAGATTTATTATATTAATTTCATAAGTGTTATGTACATCATTATACAAAATAACAGGGAATACAACAGATAATACTAGCCCGACTCATTTATTCGGGGTAAAGGTCCTGCCTCCTGAGTGTCGGCCCTCCGTCTGACACGTCGCCGCCTGTAATGAGTGACGGTGGTGAATGGGTCTCGGGGCGGTGGGGGAGTCAGCTGACTGGACGAGGGGTCCTCCTGGGTACCAGAGGGCGCAGTACTGTGGATGTTGTAATCCTCTGCGTGTCTGGGTGACGTAGGATCACATCCACCGCTGCTCTGGCCGAGATCGAACTGTGAGTTGCCATCATGACCGTCCCGCCGGTGGGCGAGATGAGCGTGACCATATCTCCGTAAGGTAGCGACGCCCATATCTCGCACCTGCTCGACCTGGGCTCTAGTGGGTCCGCACTCAAGGGAGACTGATAGCGCATCAACCATCGCCACCATATCCGCCACTCCGCCTGATGGTCTAGCAGATGTGGAGGCATGGCATCTACCAAGTCAGGTACATACGGGTCCCATGTCACCTGTAAATACACATCAACAGTAATATTATGAATATGTTAGTTCGCAACAAGTACAATGTTAAAACAAAAAAGCTAAAACTGTATTTTAAATTGTTACCTGGTCCTCGGTGAGTCGGTCTAGGGCGTCTCGGTAATACGGAAGACCCCTCGCCGCATGAGCATGTGTCAGCCTGGGTACCACCCACCTAATATCGAACAATGTTTCAGTTAACAACCCCGCGCATTAAATAAAGCCTAACTCAATGAAAGTTGTATCGAACCTGCAACCATATGCCTCATCCGGTGTAGGGAGCGGGGGAGCATCGTACGCCTGGTACTGGTCGTCCTGGTCCTGCTCCCCCCGACGGTGTATCGCAGGTCTGCCTGGTCTGCCTACATGGATATGCTCCCAAGCCCAGAACTGGCACACAGAGACACAAAACTAGCTTCAGTATGAAATATGTAAGTGCGTGGTGAAATAGTTTTTTTGGTACAGAAATAAGTGAGGTACCCTAATATCGGCGGGACCTGGCTGGACACCAAGTACCCGACCAACCAAACCGACGGGATCGACTAACGCGTGTCCTGTCACCGCAGACCCATGTACTGGAAGGCGCGTAAGAATCGCCACGTCCCGTAACGTAACGGTCGTCTCACCAACAGGTAGGTGGAAGGAGTGCGTCTCCTGTCTCCACCTCTCCGCGAGCGCAGTGACAAGCGCTCGATCGATCTCCCTATACGCCATACGGTGAAAACCACCTAAACCGACAAACTCGACGTACGCCAAAACGCGAGGATCGATTCCCCACCCCACCATGAACCTGGTGGTGTAATGCCTGCAAACGAGCTGCTTTGCCGGATCAACCTGTTAGAAAGAAATTAAGATCATATACCATATAAACTCAACAAGCTGTAGTCCATGAACAAACAAATGCAATATTACCGTCTGATCCCATACGGCAACGCTGCGGTGTGTGCCCTGTAGTGTAAGCACAGAAGGGTCAACGGGTCCAGGCGTACGATCTTCACCGTCCATCGTATCTGTTCACATGCAATTTAACAAATCCCAACAGAGTTAACGCATTAGCAATTAACCAAAATGTTAACGATCAAATGTTCCAAATGTTATCAAATCATTCATAGTCATGTTCGGTTCTAGTGTTAGTGGTTCCATATTTCCCCCACTATACTCGACCCGGGGTCCATCAAACAGAATTTCTCCTCCCCACCGGCATAACAAAACTACATTTTGTGACGCCATATTCTACATAACCAAAACACATTTTAGGATTATCGAAATCTAGAGCGAGGTAAATTATCAACACTGAAATAAGACTCTTCTCACCTATAACAACTTCACTTTCAACAACTTCACCAATTTCAACAATTTCATGAACAATTTGAATTATTTCAACAATTTCAACCTAAACAGAGCTTTATGTTGAACATATAAAATAGTTGTAGTTGAATTTTTTTTAAAAAAAAAACCAGGGGTAAAACGCTGTCCGAGACAGCGTTTTATGCTGGAAGCTTAGTTTGGTAAATAGTTTTGCCACGCAACCATTTTCGTAAATAGTTTCCGTTTAAAGCTCAATTTGGTAAAACGTCCTAATCTAAAGGCATGTTCATTTACTAAATTGATTAAAGTTGAATTGAACCGAGTTGATTGAAGCTGAATTGAATCGAGCTGATTGGAGCTAAATTGAAGAGAAAAGAGCTTGAATCATCTTCGATAGTGTATATTTAATCAAAAAAAAACAAAAATCCTACAATTATTTTTCTTTTCTTTTTCTTTTTCTTTTTTTTTTTGTTGAGGAAATCAACAATATTTTACTTACTTCATTATTGAATATAAATGAACTCAAAATTTATTTAAAATGTCATACTATGTATATTAAGAAGATTTATACATATCATAAATTTATAATTTACATTAAAAAAATTATAATTTATACCATAGAGAGTGAGAAAAGAAGAAAAAAAAAAACCCTTACAAAAATATTGATCAATGATGTAACAATTTTAACATACTCTGGATATTAATTTGAACAATGATTAAACTTGTATTTTTTTACAATAACCATATTTAAATTGCAATTTCACAATAATTGGTTGACAACTCAAATAATGTACTTGCTAACAAACATTTAATAAGCTATTGAAGAAGAAAATACACTTCTTACAAATTCAAACAATTTTTGTGATTCAATAAAATCACTAACAAAAACACCATGGTAATATCCATTACTAAAATAGCTATTAACATCAATCCCTCGATCTTTAAGAAACCCGAACACCTCCGCTTGCCTATCAAATAGTCCATCCCCATCACAACCCGCAATCGCAACCCGCCAACCTAAATCCTTAATTGTGTTCAAACTACTCGACCCGCCACCAAACATCGGGTTAAAATAAGGATTATTACTACTAGTCCCAAGTGGTAAAGATAACTTACATAGCAACTCAATCACCTCTATAGGAAAAAAACCACCTTGTTTAAGAGGAGTTTGACTTGTTACCCCAAAAAAGGGTTGAATTAAAACCAAACCTCGTATAACTAACGGTTTTAGTTCATTAACTAACTCAGAAGCACGTAATCCAACGTTGTACGCAATGTTGCCCCAGCACTCTCCCCCATAATGATACACCTTGAAACATCCCCATATTTTGTCACCCACTCATCCTTCTTATCCTTCACCCAATACAATGCCTCCAAAACGTCGTCGTAGGCGGCGGGGAGGCGATGCTCGGGGGCAAGGCGGTACTCGACCGAGACCACTAGCACACGGAGGCTGCTCGCGGTGTTGGAGAGAAACGAGTCGAATTGTGGGGTGGCCGTGCTAAGGAGAATGAACTCCCCACCATGGGCAAACACCATGATGGGGAGGTTTGTAACGGGCTTGGGCCCGGGCTTGTTGGGTAAGTAGACCCGAACCCATGTGTTTTTAACCCGGTTGAGTGGGACATCTCTAGAAAATGCAAGGGAAGTAGAAGTATTGGGCGGGACGGTCGGGTAGAATTCTTTTATTCGGGTTATTGACCCGTCCGAGTTCGGAATAATGTGGAGAAATGCATAAGGATCAATTTTGTTGGGATTAATGGATGATTTAGAGAAATTATAATTAATTGGATAATAAGCTTGGATTTGGACTACTAATAGTAAAATTACTATTAATAGAAAGAAGAAGAATGGTAGTTTGTTTGGGTATAACTTAATGGATTCCATTTTTGCCTAAGTTTAGTTATGATATGATTGAATAATAATATAGAGAATGCAGAGAAAAATTCCAAATTTATGAGATAAAAAAGCAGTGAATTAAAAGTTGGTTACATTTTCATTATTGTTCTCAACTGCGAAAAGGTGTACTAGTTTGTAGTCTTGTGACTTGTGATGATAAGATCCAGGGAAAGAGATTTGTTTTTCAGGTCACGGATGATTAGATGACTCCGTGAAGGTGTGAACAACTGAATAATTGATTTTGACTGGTTTAGATCGACTCATATCGAATCTATAACCGATCGAAATGAAAATGAAACTAAACATTAATAACACTAATAGAAAATTCACATGCTTCGTAATAGAGTTATTAACACTAACCCATTTCGATTTGGATTTGCCCTAAGATAGACCGGTTTAGAACACGATCCTAGTCAAATGTAGTGTACTTTAATAAGACTCAAACTCGAACAAACTTTATTACAATTACCCCGTTTGCTTGCTCAGACACATCAAATTAGGGGATGTTCATTTCAGTTCAGTTCAGCTCCGATCGGTTGAATTCAGTTTAGTAAATGTGAACAAGCCCTAAGGGCGTGTTCCCTTTGTCGTTAAAGTAAAATGATTCATGGTTGATCATTTTTTTATCAGGTGCAAATATACGGTGAAATCAGGGCTGATCAAATTCAATCAGGTTTAGTAAGTAGAGTTATAATAGATGAACAATAGAATGGAACACACCATAAGCATCTATAGACAGCTTTATGCAATATTTAATTTAATTATAGATAAATGATAATTAATGTTGAATAAGATAAACCTCATCCTTTGATGAACCTTGTTGAGTGACCCCAGCCATGTTCTATCCTCTTTGTTGCGGCTTGTCTTACCTGTACTAATAGAATTCCAATTTGCCAACTCAAGGTTAAATACTATGTCAATGAAATTATACCTGCTAAAAGAATACATAGAAACTGACATTGTACCAATGAATAAGTAGTATTATACTTCGTAAAATTTAACTCCAAAATCAGATTAATCACCCAATGTAAGTCATATAAAAACAATTATATTTTTACATACCACCATAGCTTAATGTAAAATTTCAACAAACTTCTATATTAACCCAAAAAAAAAATTAATTTTTTTTTTTTTGAAGTATTCTGTATTGTATACATACTGACATACTGTACTGATTTCACAAATTACAGAAATTTTTGTTGACATACCTGCAAAATCTTGTATAATTAAGTAAAGCTTGCCAACTTATTGATCATACTTCGTATATATTAACAGAGTAATCCCTGCATTTGTGAGTATAATTATCCCACAGCAAATCAATATTGAGTAGTACTGGAAGACTGAAGGTGCTCCTTCACAATCTCTTGAATTTTCCTCTTCATTATCTTATCCTTGACCCCGTCTAGCATATTTCCGTAGAACATTTCTAAACGCCTTAGCTCTTTACCATCTGCTGCCTCCAACATACCTTGCCATGCTTTTCCAACATCAAAAGAATCAGACTCGATCAATGAGGCTGGAATATCACTCTCTTCAAAAGGCTTCCCAAAGAGTGAGCCATGAAGAACGCTTACATAACTTTCCATCACCGAAAGTTTTGATTGCAAGAGTTTCATCTCTTCCATTGCTGAAGACAACTTTTCATCAACTTCTGTCTTTTCACCTCCTTCTTTAGGCTTCTTTGACTCTATGTTCAAACCGTCGCTGAAATCTTCTGATAGCGGGGGCCACAAAACCATTGTCGGAGAGTAAGAATCACTAACCTTACCATCACCGAGAACTCCACTCCTTCCTCGTCCCCAAGACCAGAGCTTGTAACCATCATCTGCGACTAGGACAGTGTGTGCTGCCCCACATGCAACTTCTACAGGGTCAGGAAAATTGCTCCCATTGCATGAGAATTGCAGCGGCAAGATTGCATCTCCATGATCCACACCCGAAAAGCTCACATCAGGGCAAAGCCCTAGACCCTTTTCCATCCCCCATGACCACACTTCCCCAGCAGATGAAACTACACTTGTATGAAGCAATCCACAGTCTACGGAAACAAAATAAGCATTTTCTGGCAATTCTCTAGCGGGTTCAGGGAGTGAGGAACTCTGGGTTGTACCTATTACAAATAAACAAATACAGAAGATAGATACATTAATTTAATATGCTTATGAGCTGTAAATAAAGACACACAACTAAAAACAATTTTTAGATTAATAATCCCTACAAATTAAGTAATCAACAATACCATGTCCAAGCTGACCGTTTTCTCCAAGGCCAAATGTCCAACAGACACTAGCTAATGTATCACTCGGTTGCTTCTTGAAAGTAAGTACAACAGTGTGAAAAGATCCACAAGCCACATCATAAGCTCTCCAAGCAGATCCCTCGCTGAACTGTGCAACAGCCTGGGGATGTGATCTGCTCTCTGTATCTCCCAAACCTAGTTGACCATGATTATTGTTACCCCAAGTGTAACACACAAGATCATCACCAACATGTTTTTCACCAGCACTGACTAGTGCAACAACATGCTCATTTGCACATGCCACCTTAACAACTGTGTGACCGTAAAAATCGAACATTGGAATTGGGTTTGGAACACTAATAAGTGTGAATGTATTGTCATCAGGACTGCTTTGCTGTGGGATGTTGCCCCACATCTAGAGTGCCCCAAGGTTATCAATTGCAAATGACATCATTCCACCTGCTTTGATTGCACAAACCTGTAATCATAAACAAGGGAAAAATGTATATCATAACTCCATTGTTCATCACCTTGTCAAAAATGAATTAGAGTTTCACTCTTACAGTCTTACCTTCAGTGGATTTTTACTCTTTCCTTCTGAGTCATCACCAAGAGATCGGGGAGAATTCAACTGAGCTAACGTACCTAATTGACAGGGAACTGACACATTTTCTCCTTCAAATCCAAGTTGGCTATCTAGCAAATGTAAAAAATTTGAAACCCCCCAAATAAGGAATTTCAGTTAAATAGCAGCTTATAGAAAGAGCTTTTAAAATAAGTGATTGAGGTGAGAAATATACAGGTATTGTACAATAAAGAGTGAGGATTAAAAATAGAGTATCTTCTTGAATGGAAACCCAAAACAGCATCATAAATTGGCATTCAAAACCAAAGTATAACTTTGGATTTAAAATCCAGATAGGTTAAATTCAATTAACTATGCAAAAATCATATATCCGGAGAAAAAATACAACCAACAAAAGAGCAGCGGTGTCTAGCATGAATGCATGATAGGTTACAACTAACTAGATCACATAAGGTTTACTTAACTTCCTTCTAATAATCAATTTAGAAAATAACAAGGAAAGATATGGCCTTGCAGACCTGCAGGAGTTCAGGACACCCAGGTCCTTACATTTAAAATATTCAAAGCAAAAACTGATCCCTCTTCTACAATATTAGAAATTTAGCGACAATGCTTCCATTCCTTTAAGCAAGCAACTATCAAGAGAGCAAACCGGCTTGACCACAGAATTAGATCCCACAGTATAGCCATAATGTTATAGCTTTAGTCTTGTCATAGTCTTGTTGGTCTTTTTTCATAGTCTAGTCTTACAAGTCAATTTCTTTGCCTTTTCTAGGTTCCACACTACATAGATCATGAAACAACTTTTACTCCCTCTCCTAGCACAAGAAACAACAAGAAATTCTTCAATATTACTAAATTTAGAAGGACTGAAAGACTACAGTTATCAATATAGGTGTTGGAAATACTTTACAATATTCTCTCAATGATAGAAATTCCTATACAAAACAATATAGTACAATAAAATAAATTTACCAATCATATACCAACTTCATAGTTCAAAACCCAAATTAACAAATATTCTTTTCTGTTCTTTTCTTTTCTAGGGTAGGGTACATAGTGGGTGTGTATATAAATTATAAACCCACTAAAGGCACTACAACCGAATTTCAAACCAAAACCATAAACCTGCAATCAAAGACTTTACCAATTAAGCTAGCCGAACTCGAGTTCACAATCAACCTATACACTCAACACACAGAAAAGTTCTGAACTAAGAATTTCACTTCTTGAGTAAGCAACAAATTAAAGCACTTAAAAAGGGGTGTTACATAGTAGTATTACCAGCAAGAGCAAGACTATGATAAGCACCAGCAGCAACCCCAACAAATTTGGGACACTTCTCATCTTGCAAATCATCATTATTATCCCATTTAATTGGCACTGGATGATTCTCATCCGATTGAGAACCATTCCCAAGTCGCCCAAATGTGCCTCTTCCCCATGAATATACCTTCCCATCTCCTGCCCCAATTCATTTGGGTCACCATTTTCATAGCATATATTACACACATTAGTTTCAATCATATTATAAAGTAAAATTGTATTGAAAAGTATATGGCAACTGGGGTTACCGGAAAGTGCGAGAGTATGAGCTTCGCCGGCGGCGACGGCGACGATCTTGTGTGCTGGGTTGCGGGTTGGTAATCCTGGACTTTCTGTGACATCTGCCATTTTCTATTTCTTATTCTTGAGTTTTGATTTCTAAGGTGAATGTACAGTGCTGCACAACACAGCGTAAGAAGAGATTAAATTACTTAGTTTGGCTAATTGGCTTATTGACTATTGAGTTGGAATGTTGGAGTAGTAGATCAATTTTATAAGAGGGGTGATATAGTATGTTTTCTTTAGCTATGTCACCGCCACCGTTGTGTGCTACGAGTACTCCGTTTAAAGTTGGTTGTATGAAAACGGATATAAATACGGAATCGATATATTTCGTAGCATATAAAGGTGGAAAGAGGACCTGAGTCTAGGGGTGAGCATGGAACGGGTACCCGTATCTTTGGTACTAACGGTTCGGGTACTGTTAACCAAAATCACTAAAAGTGATACCCATCCCGAACCGATAAGTTCGGGTACCCGGACTTCGGGTACCCGGATTTTCGGATCGGTTATCGAGTACCCAATGAGATATCCAATAATGATAATTAAACTTAATTATGTAGTAATTATGATATAATTTACAACTAATTAAAAACAATACCATATGATCTTGACCAAATTATTAATAATATTACTAATCATTGATATTATAAAGTGATTATGAAGTAAAGTAAAAGTTTAGATTTATATTCATAGATTTAACTAGGGAAAAAAAAAAAGCAAAAAAAATGCTTATCGGATCGGATCGGATCGGGTAACCGTTAATTTTAAAATGATACCCATAACCATACCCGATAACAAATTATCGGAACGGGTACCCAAACCGTTATGGTTATCGGATCGGGTACCCTAATTTTTGAAACGGTTACGGACCGATTTTTCGGGTTTTCGGGTAGTTTTGCTCAGTCCTACCTGAGTCTCTAAACACTAGACCAACGAGGCTCTTGAGTCTCGAGTAAATATGAAAATGAGATGACGACATACCTCCTTCATTCTGATGTTGTTTGGTTTACTTAAAAATGGGAATTGGGAGTTCTTAGGAATTACAAAATGAGAAGTTGTTTGGTTGAATAAAATTTGGTGAAATGAATGAAGTAGAACTAAAATATAGGAATTTACTGACCTAATCCCCCTTAGGTAAGTTGAAATTCCTATATGAGTTTACTTCCCTCATTACTAACCAAACAACCCTAAATTATTACACATCTCTATTATGTTTTCCAAAGTTTAATATCCCATATTAACGATAAGTATGAAGTAAAAATTAGAAAAAGTTGGTATTTTACAAACACAAATTGAGAGGAATCAAACAACATCTACAATAAGTGACTTGGTTTTTACTAGTATCATTTATTAATTACATAAATAAAAGATAGAGTCAAATTAAAGTAAAGTTTGTAAATAATGTTAAAAGTCAAAATATATCAACTAATTTGGAACGAAAAATTGGAGTGCATACATATATGGAAAAACACATATAATGATATTTACATGTATTTAAAAACACAATTTTGTCAATTCTGTGTATTTTTTATGAGTATTAATTATGCTGTTATACACTTGTACTAATCCAAGTAGCTTAAGTAAACTCTTTAAAAAAATGTACTCGTATTTAATATTTCAACATTGAAGTTGTGATATCAAACCCTATTAGAAGCAATTTAGGGTGTAAGAAAATTAACAATAGCTATTGGTACACAAATTAAGACAATTTTAGAGAGGGAGTGTGAAATCAAATTACATGCCATTACTATAGGATTAACTTTTAAAGGAAAATAATTTATATTTACCTCATACTTTGTTTAAAACTTTGTACTTCGTGTAGCCTATGAGTGAAAGAAGAAAAAAAACAAGGGAAAGTTCATGAAATAATAATGGTCTGTTAATCATAACTAATCATTATTTAATTGACATTAGTACTATACATCTAATCTATAGATACAATCTGGCTAGGTGTGCAGTTGCTAATGGCTTACAATGGTAACGTGATTGAATTGCAATGCTGCTAGATAACAAATTATTCCAAACTTAACGTCATGGTAAAAGGAATAATATTATAAAGTGATGCATGAAAATGACTTAAAGTTTAATAATGGTTGTTAATGGATATATCTTAATACCTGGATTGTAATCGATATAAAAACATTTGTGTAACGTAAACCATATATACTGAATAGACGTAGGACATTTCTACAAATGTCACTATCAATGTTTAAATTCTGTTATCACAGTTAATTAACTTTTATTTGTTGGTCAAAGAACATACGGAGTAACATTTTTATTTTAAATTCTAATCTTTTAATTGTAATGAATTATTAACAATGATTTCTGTGAGATAAACACTTATTACACCTACCCCGCTTTAAAAGTTTTTTTCTGCATTGTTTTGGTAGATAATTACTATTTAAATTACGAACTTTTAGATACACATGGAGTATAATATAAGTAGTTAACTTTATAAGAGTATAGAGATTAGAGATAAGGAAATTTCTATAATAAGTTAATTTGCTTGGCAAAGTACTTGATGAACACAATCAAATGAAAAAAATTAAGAAATTAAGTTATTTTTAACAAGTAATTTTAGACTTGTAGCTACAAGGCCTACAACCTACAAATGGTATACAAGTAGATTGAGAAATGATATACTGTACAATAATTTTGAAAAAATAATTAGAGCATCTCCAATGGTAAGCTACAATCTTGTAGCTTACCTTGCCACATCATAATATCAAGCAACAATGAATTTAGGCTACAAGTTGCACCAACAGTAAGCTACATTGCTTTGTAGCTTGTATAAGCCTTTTTTTTCTAACATAATTTATTTTATAATATTAAATTATTATATAATTTATTAAATATTATAATACGTATATTTTTTTCACATATTAGATAGGAAAACAATACAATATTAATTTAATACAAGGTTTTAATCTAGTTTATATAAATCATGTTATATAACAGACCTAATGTATATATTTTTTTATAATAAATACGTTAAGCTATTTAACTTCCCTTTATTTTAATATGATTTATTTATTTTTTTAAAATATGGTAGTTGAACTAAATATATATAGAAGATATATAGGAAGTATATATGTGTAATATTAATATTAAAATCAATGTATGATATATATGAATCTTGCTATGAAGACATTATGTTAAAATTAAATTAAAAATAAAAAAAAAAATTAATAAAAAGATAAGATAAGAATTGGATAAAATATAAAGTGTTGGGAACATGGAGTATAGATCAATCAATTAATTTTTATAGAAAAAAAAATTGAAAAAAAATTTCAAGCTACACTGCTTGTTTGAGCAGGGCTTGCTTGAAAGCAGCTTGCTTTCTTTCTTCTCCAATGGTAGAGCTACAAATATGTAATTCTTAAATATTGCAAGCAAATCCTAAAACTAATCATTGGAGATGCTCTCAGCCAACTTTATTATTATTTTTATTTTATTTTTCTGAAAGGAAATTAGCCAGAAGGGGTGTTATAATGAGAATTAGATACATTTTTCCATTATTTCCATGTTTATCAAGAAGAGAAATATGGATTTACCCCTTAAGTTAATTTCCATTTTTTTTTAATTTTTTTTAGGGAAGTTAGTCCCATTTTGTTCATATAGTGCTATGGATTTGGATTTTAAAAAGCAACTTAGAGAGAGATGGAATTAAAACTTAGCTTGACTTCTAATACTCTGTACTAATGCCCTGTTTAGTTCACCTGATTTTAGCTGATCTGGTCTGGTCTGATCTTATCTTATCTTATCTTATCTTATCTTAACTTATATTTTCTGATCTGAACTTATTTTTTCTGATCTGATTTGAACTGAACTTATTTTTTCTGATCTGATCTGATCTGATCTGAACTTATTTTTTCTGATCTGAACTTATTTTAATTATTTCAATATTCTACTTTTATTTTAATCAATATTAATGTTTTTTTAAAAACATAGTAATGTTTTATTACTATTATTATTAATAACTAGTATCATGCCCCGTGCGATGTCCGGGTTGTTTATTAAATTTTAAGATAAATTTTTATTCTATATATATCAAATTTTAAAATATATCATTGATATAAAATTAGTTAGGAATTGATGTGCTTTTGTGAAGATTAGTGGACATGTAATGCCTAATAATATTAGTGGAAATGTTCGATTTAATACATAAAAAAAATTAAAAATTAGCAAAAAAATAAATTAAATTAAATAAATGTTCAAATCCCGTTGGGTTGATTCGAACCCAAAACTTTAGGCAAGGGTTGAACAGTTTTGACTCGTAACCTGAAGTGACTCAATCCGAGATTACTCATGACCTGATCCTAATTGACAGGTCTACATAGTTATAAAATTCTATTAGATTGTGAACTATATTATTTTAACCGGTTAGTATATATTACGAAGTATAAATGTATGTTTTACACCTTGAAGTACTTCCTTCGCTCCAAAAAAATATTATGATATAAAAAAGTAAATTTGTATGATAATTTTTTAGAATTATAATCTAATAATTTTTTTGAATAAAATATAATTCAATTTGTACATCTAAAAAATTGGTATTTATCGAAAATAAAACTTTTAACTAACTATTTTATCCTAAAATTCTATCCAAATAGAATTCTAAAGTGTCGTTGTCTTGTGGTCTGGCTAAAAGTTTAGCTTTATATATTAGTATATGATTTATTATTATTATTATTGTTAGGAAAATTGTTATTATTATTATAAAATATTTTAGAACCCTTACAAATATTTTAAAAGAAACCTAAAAGTATTAATATTATCAAATAGTACAAGGTAATATACTTGTAATATTTGATAATTTTATTATTTACAATATCCAGCATCATAAATGAATTTGTTTATAAGAAATTATTAAAATGGGATCCTAAAAAACCTAAATTGAAGATTAAATTTGTCATAGCTTTTTGTTATATAGAAAAAAGAGATTTGACTTTTTTTTGTTATAGGGAATTTTACAAATTTTTTGGTAATGTAAAATGGTTGACTAAATTGAATTGAAAATTATCATTTCATATTTCAATATTCCGAACAACTATGGGTAACACCTCTATTTTCTTATATAAAACAACATCTTAGTGTCATAATTTTCACACTCTAAATCAATCTCCTAAAATATTTTTCTATTCATCTGTTCAATAGGTTGTTTGTCTTTTATCTCTATCATAGGTAAATACTTCAACACTCTATGTCATTAATTTTATCATTTGTCCATTGTTTTTTTATAATATAGGAAAATATACATTTATTTGATTTCATGAATTTTACATTTGACCTAATGCAACTAATATCGATGAAAATGTAACTGTTGATGGGCATCAAATATTCACACAATATTATTCTTAGTTTCCTCCCTCTAATAGTCTAATGTTTAATCAAATTGACAAATTAAACATTCAATATAAATTAACTATAATGATAATGCAAGCAAAATACAAGTAATGATCCGGGACTCAAAGCCAAAAACTAGTTTAATGATAAAGTGATAAATCATAATAAAGTATTAAAGATTTTTTTTACGAGGAAGTCCAATTGTATTTAATTCTAGCCTAGCCTATTCATAATTTCTAAATTCCCAGCTGCGTGCATAAGGATGAAAAACCTGGTTTGAACAGGACTAGCCCGGCTTATTATCATTAGTTTTTCCTCTTTTAATCAACAACAAAAATTGTATTGTATGAACATGTTAAATTTAAATATTATGGTACCTCTAGTATCCATTAGTTGATTTCATCAATAACACATCAGTTCATTGATAAGGAAAATTACACTGAACCGATAACCTGAAAATTTTTAGGCCTCTGACTATTTTGAGCTGTGTGATGATCAAGAGATGGAAGGAAATTTTGTACGTACAATTAAAGAGTTTATTTTTTATTTTTATTTTTTTTGTTGGTAAGGAGAAGGGTTCTACCGGGTTGAAATCTCTCATAGGTCCTCTTAACCTCCGGGTTAGTGGGCTAGACACTTTGGAAGTGAGGGGGAAGGGTGCGGGAATCCTCACCCCCAAAGCGTCTCTAGTTGGGTTTGTGAGTTATAAACTTGAATACTAGACCAAGCTATGCTTGGTACACAATGAAAGAGTTGAATACAAACATATGTTACCACCCCTGTAGAATATATCAACTGCAGAATATATAAGATTAATTACCACATTTGCATAGTTGATCCAAAATAATGCATATTACAACTCATTGTAGATTAGTACTTAAATAGAGAGGCACAGAACATAGCACCAAAAGTTAAATATACAGAATTACACGCATAGAAGCCACTAGCTTTGCAAACCACAAATTCATACAATATGAACTTTGGTTGTCAACAAAAGGATTACTATTAGTAGTTATAACATCACATTTTCATCAACCCACATCTCAGAACCATAGCCAGCTTTGTTTGTGACCTTGACACGCACCCTTCTATATTGTTTCGATTACCAGCAAATTAAATTATGGGATAGAATTTGGGGAGACAAGACTCTCCACATAATCGATAACCTTGTAAACCTCTACACTGGGACATTGAGTAACGACATGTGAAGGTGGATCATCATCTGGGTCAATGAGCGCGAGCCCATTCACTTGAATGCATAGATAACCATTGTATGTGAAACCTACAAATTGGATGCGATTTCTGGGTATTTACTTCCTCAGGTCAATTCGATACAGCTTTTTCCAAGAATCCCAATTATCATACTCCTCCAGGGTCCAAAGCTCGAACATCTGTTCCTCAAAGCGATTTAAAAACATAGCACATAGGCGGTGATATTTTCCAATGACACCAAGCAAAAGCTTATCATGTTTTGGTACTTGATCAGGTTTAATTGAGAAGGGAACCTTCTTAAAGGTCTCTGCTGCTAAATCAAATATAACTATCCATTCGCGACATACAAGATAGTGCAATGCGTCTTTAAAGAAAACAGAATGAGCATCCGAGATTAACCCCAAATCCTCATCATCAGAGACATGTATTCTTCTCCATCTACCAGCCCTTAAAGAGTATAAATAGATGCCCTTTTCATAGGGATAGGGCCTATACTCCGAATACACTAAGAAGATTTTGTAGTCATCAGAGGGAACACGACCAAACCAACTTGAGTCTATATGAACAAAAAATGACCCCCTTTTAACAGGCAATGAGATCTCCCTTGCTTTAGTGGTGCAAGGATTCCAAAGATGCAATGAATCTTGACCGCGTCTACCCCTCTCCATCTCTTTCATATAAACACATATTAGGCCATCATTTGACCCGACAATGAAACAATAATAATAACTGGATACAAAGCTATCGAGGAATCGATTGTTCAACATGTCTGAGGTTACACCCTCAGTAATATTGTTCGGATCAGAAAACTTCAGGGTGGAAAGGGTATTGAATTTTTGAACAATGAGGGTCAGGGGTTGATTAATACTGTTCGAATAATCGAGATGTGATCTTGCAAATTCAGGGTCTGAGATGAGGGTAAGCCATGATTTGCATACTAGTTTGCATTGTCCTAATGATTTTACAGGCAGTCGATACAGAATATCAAGTATTAATTCTTCATTTAACCCCAAAAAAGGGTCATCTTCATATTTGAATCGGCTCATATTAGATTAGTCCTTCGAGTTTTCACTGCAAAAAAATTCTGATGTTACTACATTATAAACACAATTTCAACTAATATAACCATTAACATCAACTTGCAACTATTAAGAATTAAGAACATTATCAACATACTAATAAATTCTTTAACAAGCTCATAACTCTTAATTACTACAAATTCCCACAACATATTCATAAAACAAAACAACATTATGAATGTGTTCTTTTCAGCTTATTAAACCATGCAAGTACTTTATTAGACTTGATTGGAAGTTATGTGCCCTAATTAGGAATTTTTGGTGAAAAAAAATAGTTCAAAACAAGTAAATAGTTCAAAACAAGTACATTATCTAAAATTGAAAAAAAATAGTTCAAAACAAGTACATTATCTAAAATTGAAAAAAAATAGTTCAAAACAAGTAAATAACACAATGTGATGAAATTATATAAAGTTATAATTTTTAAAAAAAAAAATTAAAAAAATTGAAGAGAATTACAACTAGAGAGGAAATCAACATAAATAAACAAAGCAAAAAGGGAAATTATATTGGAAAGATTATACCTTTAGAGGAGATGAGCAAGTGTGATGGAGATTGGAAACGAAAAGAAAGACACAAGGTTGAAGAAAGAAATTGATGGTGATTTTATGAATGTTTTGCTTCTCATGGAAGATAACAAGTCCTTTTTTTACGGAGTAGGAGTAGTTTTTTTACTGTGTGAAATGATTGATTTAACTATTGAAGTATTGTTTCAATAGTTGTGGGTTACAGTACTATTTCGGACTTATGACTTGGGGAACGGCACAAAGACAGACGGCCAATAACGTAGTTAAGGCTAAAGTAACTGACTTACTATAACGTCCCTAATTTGATCAGAAGTCAAGTATTCGAGTATTTTACTTCTTAAAGGTGAGTTGTAAAAGAATTTTTTCAGATCGGTTCGGTTCAGCTCAGTCAATCAGAACAGACCATTGGTAAACCAATAATGTTTATTTAGATGATTAATGAGGGCGTCCTCTTTTTACTCTCTCCGTGTTTATAAAATTTTAGGCATTTTAATTGAGATACATATATAGAATTAGGGGTGCTAATCGAATGAGTCGATCACGAGCAGAGGGTTGCTCAGCTCGCACTTGTTAAGTTTCGAGTTGACCTAAGTCGATCAAAGATTTACTACGTAGGTTTCTTGAATTTCAAACATTTGTTGATTATATATATTTATTCTCTTTTATGAATTTTACCTACTTAAGAGTATTAGTTTATGCTCAAATATAATAAGTGTCAAGGTAAAAGTGTTTGAAAAAAAAGGGGGATAATCAATCAAGGTCAAAATATTAAATTTCTTGTATAGTTATCAAGTTCTGGGATGATTCGAGCAAACACAAACCAACTGGAGACAAGTTTAGCACCCCCTATATAGAATGTATCTCAATCCAAAGTGTCAGGTTGTTAATTCTTTCTCTTGTTTAATACTTCTATCAATTGTAGTTTGATCAAGTATGAAACAAGGGTTTTGTAAACCAAAAATTTAAAAGTTCGTTTGGCATCGTTGTGGTTTTTTTTTTTTGGTTTTTTGTTTTTTAAAAGTATATTATATATGTCACGTATTGAATTAAAATAATTTAGACTTATTAAAATTATGATAATTTTGAAAACTAACAACAAAAAAGTGGAAACACTTTTTTCTTGTTTTCTGTTTTTGATTTTTAGATTTAAAAAAAACAGGAAACTGAAAACCAAAAAGATACCAAACAAGCCCTTAATAAATTGATGGTTTCACAAACCGCCAAATATTGGAGAAGCTTTTGTAACATATATTGGCTTTGAACTTCTCTAATTTACTAATTGTTCCGTATTAAAGATCCCAAACAAGCAATACTTAATCCATGATGAACACAACCACTCATTGATGATTAGTACGTACTACGTTAGTTATAGAACATAATAGAAACAACATAATTAAATGCATAATAGTAGAAATCATCCAAGCCAATGCAAAATACATCACCACAATCCAACCAAAAATTAACCTCATGTCGAAAAAAAAAAAGAAAAATCCAACCAAAATGAACTTCTGATTGTCAACAAAAGGATTATTACTAGTAGTAATAACATCACAGTTTCAATTCTTCATCATCAACCCACATCCCAAAACCTAATACCCCTAGCCAGCTTGAATTGATCGCGTCCTTGACATGGTCCCTTGTAATGCCCTTATGGTTCGACTGCCACCAAAATTAACTTACGAAATAGAATCAGGAGACACAAGGCTCTCCACATAATCCATCACCTTGTAGACCTTTTCAAAAGAGGGATTTCGAGCTACGACATGTGAAGGAGGATCATCATCTGTATCAACCAGCACAAGTCCATTTGCTTGTTGAATGCAAAGATTACCACTGTAAGTGAACCCCAAAAATTTCATGCAGTTTATGACAATATTTTCCTTCAATTCAATTCGATACATCTTTTCCCAAGAATCCCAATCATCATACTCCTCCAAGGTCCACAGCTCGACCATCCATTCCTCAGAGTGATGTACAAACATAGCACATAGACAATCATATTCTCCAATCACACCAAGCGATAGCTGATGATAGTTTGGTAATTTATCAGCCTCATCAATTGAGAAGGGCACCTTCTTAAAGGTTTCTGAAACCAAATCAAATATAACAATCCATTTGCGACGTACAAGGTAATGCAACGCCTCATCCAAGTATACAGAGTCAACTTCAGAAATGCGCTCATAATCTTCATCAGAAACATATAAACTTTTCCATCTATCAAACCTTAACGAGTACAGATACATACACGTTCCATGAGATTGCTTATGCATCGTATAGACTAAGAAAATCTTATAGTCATCATCACAAGAAGGAACACATCCGAACCAACTAGACTCTATATGAACATAAAACGAACCCCTTTCAACAGGCAATGAGATTTCCAACTCCTCAGTGGTGCAAGGATTCCAAAGAGACATTGAATCATCACGACGTCTCTTCTTACCCATCTCCTTCACATAGACACAAATAAGACCATCACAAGACCCGACTATAAAACAGCACCTAGGGTCAAACACATCATCCTCGAGGAACCGGTGCCTCAACGGGGCTAAGGTTACACCCCTACTAATATCCGTCGAATCACGAAACTTTAGTTGAGACAAGATATTATTCTTTTGCAAAATGAGTGTCAAAGGCTGATTATTACTCTTCGAAAATTCAACATGTGACATGGCAAATTCAGGGTCTGAGATTAAGGTATTCCATGATTTGCAGACTAATTTGCATTTTCCTAACGATTTTACGGGCAATCGACACAGAATTTCAATGATCAATTTCTCAGGTAACCTCAAAAAAGGGCACTCTTCATTTTTAGAGCGTTTCATATTAGATTGATTAAAGAATCTGCAGAACAAAATTGAAATTCTACATCAAAAACAACACAAACAATTTAATACAAGTTCCTATTATAACTTACCACAACAAATTCGAAAAGGGTATATAATTTGACATTGAAAATATATAGAAAGAAGACAAAGCAATTATATGAACAGACTAAGGAATGAAAGAAAACCCTAATACAGTTATACATTGAGAATATAATAAACAAGGCAAATTAAGAAGTTCATTAGAGTAAAAGACAAAAAGTATTTAGAAAGATTATACCTTTAACTACGAATGTGTGATGGAAATTGGAAAGAGAAGACGAAAAGTTGAAGAAAGAAAAGTGAACTGATGAAGAAGACAATAAAAAGCTTCTCATGGAAGCCAACTATATTTTTGGTAATTTTGAATTGTTTTGAATCTTTTGATGCATTTGGTTGTAAAAACCTCTCGTAATTTTCCTTAAAAAAAACCCCCTCGGAATTTTCCAAAAAAAATAAAAAAAACCTCTCTAATTCTTGTTGGGTTGGACCGTTGGGCCGAGAAACATGTCTTGGATTTGTTTTCCACCGTTTCATAATAATCATAACACTTCTAAAATATTCTTCGATTAATCTTTAAGTATATTTACATTATATTATGTTGCGATTATTATGAAACTGAAAGAGTATACATAGGGGTACAAGGGTATCTTCATTTACTTTGTATTAAAATGTAGGCAGTATTGTAATTTGTTAGAAATGAGAATGTTAGTTGCTTTAATGCTACTTAGGTCTTGTTCTCATCAGATCATTTTCAGTTCAATTCAGCTCTTAATTTCTTCTCTCATAAAATTTTCAGTTCAGTTCAGCTCAGTTTAGTCAATGAAAACAGGCCCTAAAGTTTCAATTAGTTTCTACTCACTTCTTCAATTACAAAGCTTAATTTCAACTTTTCGGTATTCATTGACGTTCACTTTTCCAATTACCTTATATAAATAATTATTTCTACTCCCTACGTACTATTCACCACGGTCATTGTTGATGAGATTAGATAATAATGTTGTATACCTCTTTCATATCGTTGTCTATGATTCAGTTTACATTGACATACATTGATATGTTGTACTAGTAGTAGTTTGAGAAAGTACTTAATTTAATTCAAGTCCAATGACCTATATATTGTTCAAGCTAAGCTTGATGCTTCATCATTTGTGAGATTTGTCATAAGTCTTCGAGCTTAATTTTTTCTTTGTAGTTTACTTATGAAAACCTAGCTATGATGGGGAAGTTTTCCTTTTTGATCTAAATAAAAAACCTCCAACTTTGTGGCTTTAGTGCGAGGATGTGGTTAGCTTTGCCGTGAGCTAGCAAAGTCGAAACAGGCAATAATAGTGAAGAGGTAAAAGATGAAAGGATCCTTGTTAGTTGTTACATATGTGGAGGTGTGGAGCTAACAATTTCATAACAACAATGTCGGCATGGCCTTGTGCATTTGTCGTTCTAGACTACTCCTTATGTTTTTTTTAATGCATCAGTTTGACCTGTACATTTTCCAAGACGTAACTTTTTTTTTTTTTTTTGAAACGAGCCTAGACGTAACTTTTTTTTTTTTGAACGAGCCTAGACGTAACTTTAA